TTTATTGTTTTTTAGTTAATTGGCAAAAGAGTTATAATTATCAATAACGTTTGCCCATTACATCACCAATTTGATTATTAGTTTAAACATGGTTATACAAAACTAATTTAATTATAAATATATTACTAAATAACTTAGTTAACATAAATATATATTACTAATAAATCATTAAAAATACATTAAATATTTTTATAGATATATTTAATATATACTGTATATATCAAAAGTTATATTTAATATATTTATATTTGTGTATAAACATATTTTATACATTGGCTGTAAATATATAAATAAAACTTTTATTGAAAGTTTATAATTATAAGCTATTATAAGGTTAATGTAAAGTAATAATATATTTCAAATTATATATTAGTATAGAATTGTTAGAAATAATAAAATGTTTATTTATATAATACAATAACTTTTCTATTTTATTTTATTGTATTGTATTATATAATGGTGAATTTGTGTTAATTAATGTAACATTTTTATATAATAAAACTCAGTTTAAGTCAATCTATTTCTTACATATTGTAGTATAAGTTTGTCTAAAATAAATTTAGTTAAAGATTCAGTCATTATTGGCTTAATATATGTAAAGAATGAGAAAATAAGAAAATATTCATTAAAGTAATTTCTGTCGTTTAGTGCTCACAATATACATGTACTGTATATACAATTGTTATTTAAATAATTTAGAAAAAATAATGAAACACATTATATAAAAAACAATATTTAAATAATGTTTGTATTTTACTCTTGGGATGACCTAGTTTGTTATTTATTAAATATGTTTCATGCAAATTAATTTATTTTTATAATCATATAATTTTAGCATTTTTTCAAACTTTAATTATTATATAAAATAGTATTATTGTTATTTTCTATTTTTGAGTACAGAAAATAAAATTTTTATAATGAGTTAGTTTTATATTTAGACTTTGACACAAATTTAGTTATTCTATAAAAATACGGTACAGTTGACCATGCACAAAATAAAACTATAATTAATATTTATAATAACATTTGATTAAATTATTTATTTTTAAAAATATTTAGTAAATATTTGTAGTTAATTGAAATCAATAATTAGATCATTGACTAGTAGTAACTTATTCAACACTTATTCAGTTAATTATTGATTTTATTTTCTGAAAAATATTAACATTAATTCAAAAATTCAAAATAAGTCTTATTATGAATTGGTAATAGCTTTTAATATTTTTTATTTAAATTAGTTGTATTACTATATATTTATAATATGTGTATAATAAAGTAGCAGGGGCGGTTAAGCAAATTTTGGAAATTAATATTTTAATTGATATATTTTGATATATATTATAATTTTACATATATATATATTAAATTTTAGATCAATCGTATCAATATTTTCATAGTTATTAAATAAAATAAATTTTGATTATAATGGGAAGTATACAAAAAAAATCAAACTTTGATTTATTTTCAGAAAGCAAATATAGTGATTGTAATAAATAGTGATATGTGTTGTATAATAATTTTAATAACCAATAGTTTATTTTATTTATTACTATCGCTTAAATTTTTTTTTCATTATATGTTATGTTGATTTCGTTGTCTGTACTCAACTCATTGTATTAATAATTATGAATTACATTTTAAAGTGTTATTTAAATGCTAAAAATAATTAAATGCTATTTTAAAAGGAAGTAATTATTTTATATAAATACTGTACAAAATGTTATATAAATTATGATAATAAATTTTTGTTCTTTAAATAAAATACTATATTATAAAAAATTTTATTTATAGAAATTAAATTAATTTTTATTATTTTATCATCAAATAAATAAATGATTGAAAATTTATAAAATGTTTGTATTTTATATGAAACTAAGCTTTTGAAGAAAGATATGAAAGTAATATTTGTTTGAAAAATATTTGGCAAACAATTGATTTTTTTGAAAATAACGTTATCTTTAAATTTGTTTCTCAATGTCTATGTTTTCATTTGGTAAGCCATTGTATATAAACTATAACTTAATATTTTATGTGAATTTGTTTTTTTGTTCAAACAATTTGCACGTCTTATAACATATGCCTTATACTTACACTTATTGTCACATATTTTCATCATTCAAATCACATTTAAATGATAGTCTTATTCATAGAATTTCAATTATAAATATGCTGTTTTAAAATCATTAAAATAAGTGTTAATTGTGAAAAATTTAGATAAATATTGTAACTATATTTTTATATTAGTGAATATTATATAATATAAAGTTACAGTACATTTGGTATCAATTTAATATATAAAGAAACGATCAAAACGTGTTGACATAAGAATTAAATGGTTATAAAAACAAGTGACGACTGGAATGGCAAAAGAAAACTGAATTATTTGTTAGAATAACACAGAATATACAGAATATCACAGAATTATATCAAAATTCAATGACATGATCGAGAGGTATATGCTTTTACTTAAAGGCATATATACTGTACTGAAGTGTCAGTGCTTACTCTCGATGCATAACTGAGCACTTTTGGCACTTATATGTTGTGTTGATTCTTGAGAAACAAACTCTACAATCAAATCAATCGATTAAATTTATGTTACATTTGACTTTCAATAAACATTTTCTTAATATATATTTTCAAACTTTCACTCACATGTATTTCCATAAATAATATTTATTTAAAATATTTTTGATAATATAGGGTACATAACATATTTTCTTATATTATATAATATATATGATTTGCGTTTTTATCTTTAAAATGCTTATTATATTGATATGAGTCATATGACACACCAATACTATAATGTTGTTAAAAAATATTTCAATTATGCAAATTAATTTTTAGTTTACAAATTTTAAAAAATTTACTTTAATATTAATAATATTATATCTAATCTTTTATGACAATACTTTAAATACAGTATAATGTTTGCATAAATGAATTTTGTAAATTATGCAAACATTATTTTCAAGAACTCTTGAGTTTAAATAAGTGTTGTATTATTTAGTATTAAGTTTTAATATAAAGATGAAACAGAAATGCAATCTCTTAACAATTATTATCGTTTAAAATAATGATATTAATATAAATCTATAGCTAATGTGTTGCTTGAAAATGCATTGATAGGAGTTTAGTAAAGTTGTAGATTAAACTGCTTTTGTGTCCAAAAATGTCAGTAAAATGAGATATCATTACTGAGAGAAGAGACATAAAAAGCAATCGATGCTTAAAAAGACACCACATTTCCAATTGTATTGATATGTCAGGTCAGCAGTACTTCAATGATGGTCTCAATTGTTCACATTATTTGTTACATTGAATTGCACTAAATATAATAATATTGTTTTCACTCATGTATTGTATTGAAAAGGAATTGCTTTACAAAATACAATGATTTTAAAGAAACTAAATGTAAAATTTTTATCATTATATATTTATGTACTTTAAAATTTAATATTGATATAAAGTTTAAAATAAATAAAGAATAACTTATATATTAAACTCAAAATTGATTTCATAATATCCAAGAATTTAGTAAATTCTTAAGCTTTTTATATCTTGTTTTAGATAAAAACTGTTGTTTGAAATAATGTTGAAATTTCTAAACAAATATTGAAATACTTTTTAAAATAATTGTTAATCTCCTTAAAAGTTTTATTGATTTAGTTAGAGATGATAGAGACGAAAGAGACGAAAGAGACGAAAGAGAGCGACATTTGATACATATTTGACATGAATTTATGCCATCGATTGTTGAGTGCAATAGTTGTATGCAATACTTGTTTGTGAAAAAAGTGTAAAACATTGTTCGTCTTTAATCTCTAATCGTTACAATCAATAATATTATACATGGGTTTGAAAACAAAATAAATTGAGTTTACTGTACATTCAAAAAGAAAGAGCCCTTAAAAGTAATTTCATTTTAGATGTATTGTCTCTGAAGGTGTAAATCAAGACTTAAATTGTTTCACAATTGAGTTTGTATTGTAAGACAACTATAATATAATGTAAAGAATATCTATTTTCTAAAATATTCTCACAATTCTATAAAAATCAAATTATCTTTTAATCAATTATAAAGTTATTTATTATAGTTAATATCATTATTCAAATATAGCAAAGTTTTCAATCTAATAAATTAAACAATGATTAACACAATATAATATAACGTATAAAATATAAGTTTTATTTTTTTAACTGATATTTTTTCTAATAATCAAATTTTATTTATAATATTTTAATTATATTTATTATGATTGTTATTTATTGTATTCACTATACGTTATATTAAACTGTATATTATATGTTAATACTGTATAATACTGTATTAAATTAAATTTATAAAATCAATAATAAATCTTAACTTTAGAATTAAGATAAATGAATAAAAAAATAATTTCTTTCTTTAAAAATAACAAAACATTTATACAATACATAAAAAAATAATAAAAAAATATCAAAAAGATCTCTTAATGATTGAAGTGTGGACTACAACACTGTTTGCATTATTTATAATCACAGATAAACTTATATCCGATTAATAAATAATAATAAGAATATATAAGAGATAAATAAGTTTTAAAATTTATACAAAATATCCGTATTTTTTATATATATTTAGTTATTAAGTAATAATAAGAACCAGAACTCAAACCGTGTTTATTTCGGTTCGGGTTTTGTCTTAAAATTTAGATTTTTTGCAATTCATTAAATTCTAATTGATTTAAAGTGATTTAAATAAAACAATATATTTTTTAAAATTTATAATTTATTAAAAATTAGTAAATTTAATAAAAATAATATTTAATTTCTTAATATAACTTATTTTTTAATTAAATTAAATTCGGTTTCGACTTTTGTATTGAAACCCTATTAGAACTCTACGACTCTATTGTCTAAAGCAGTCATTCAATGACTGATTGTTTGTGATAAACATAGACTCGATTAACGCCTCCTTTCGTCAAATATATTCAAACCGGCGTTTCAAAAGTCAGTTGTTTTTATTGTAGAGCTTTTCAATATAAATATTATTAAAAATAAGGTATAAATAATTGACTGAAACTGTATTCCAATAATAATATGATATACATTATGAACGTTATGAACGAAACAATGGCTGAAATGAGTGTTTAATTTGATTTAAATTTGAATTAATATTAAATAATTGATTATATTTTTCATTAAAATTACATAATTTTTGGTCAATTGAGTGGTCAAAGGCATCACTTGTAATACCCGAAGATAATGGACACGACTACAGACACAGTACCCGATCTGAAGACAGTGTATTCACTGATCAAAAGTTTTTATTTAAGTGATCCAAAACCCGAAGTGCACCGCAATATGGAGGCCATACAGGACTCGGTCTACGGCTGGACTATTGCCGATCAAATACTTAGTGACCAAAACTCGGACATCTATTGTCGTATATTTGCCGCTCAAATACTCAAGAATAAGATCGAGAAACACTTCCAACAGCTGCCACAAGAAAGCTATTCCCAGTTGAAGGACAAGATTATCCAACACTTGCGCAACAATAAGGAGACTGTTGTTCGCACACAACTCTCGCTGGCCATCACTTACTTGGGTATTGTCGACAATAATTGAATTAACTGAACATTGATTTATAATATTATTTATGTTTATTAAATTCATAGCTATATTAGTACCCGAATGGACGCATCCGATTGAAGAGTTGGCCCGACAGGTGCCCGACGTATCAATTCTTATAGAAATATTGATTTGTTTGGCTGAAGAAGTACAGGGAGAACGCAATGCTATCAGAATTGGAGGCAAAAGAAAGGCTGTATTCAGTGATTACTTGAAGCAAATTTCCAATGATGTGATCCAACTCTTGATGAAGACATTGAGTGAAACCAAAATCAATTGGAATCAAGAGAACAGTCAAACTCAGGAACAATTGTTGTCCGATATCTACAAATGTTTGGGCGCTTGGCTTCGATTTATAGATGTTTCGGTTATCAACCAAATTGAGCCAATTCTTACCTCTGCTTTTGAAGCCCTCCGGAACCCAAACTGTCCGAAACTGATTCATGATTCGGCTTCCAATACAATCTGTGACACAGCAATACTTTGTGAAGAATACCAAACTTACCAACAATTGACTCACTATCTTCTCAATCAAGTATATCAATTGGAAACAGCATATCATCTGGCAGTGGCTAATGAAGACACAGAGAAAGTAGAAAATTATACTAAAGTTATTACCGAATTGGCTGAATCAGTGATTGATCCATTAATTATCAACGAAGTTGATTTAAAGATATTGGATCTCTTACTGACTTGTTGTGGTCACTATGATATTGAGATAATAGACATAACATTTTACTTTTGGTATATGTTTTCTGAAAAGATATACAACCGGCGAACCACTACTTTCATACCCCATTGCAATCGATTGATGGCCGCACTCACCAAACATTGCCAATTAGACTCTGACTGCGTTGCACTTCTTGACTATAAATCAGATTTATATGAACTTCGATGTCGAGTCAAAGATTTAGTCAAAGAAATGATTCCAACAATTGGTATCAAGAATTATATTAATGGCAATAATATTATCGATACTTTAAAAACAGTAAACGCATGGGAAGTGATTGAGTCAAATCTTTTTATAATTAGTTGTATTATCGGCCAAAAGGTCGAACCCGATGACAATCAAATGATTGCTGAAATTATTAATTTAGTTTTAAACTATACATCAGTGAACCAGAGTTCACAACATATCCAAATCTATGCCACTATTTGTAATATATTAGGCGAGCTTTCAGATTGGCTTAAATCAAACGCCATGTATTTGGACGCAGTGTTGAATTTCTTGCTTAATATGATAGCAAACTGTCATAAAATTGAAGAGTTGTCATCACATGCCGCTCAAGCTCTTCAAAAAATTATAGAGTCGTGTGCTTCACAGCATTTGGTTGGAAATCATAATTTAATATCAATTTTGATTCAAATCTGTTCCCAAATAGACCTAATAAAGAGCGCCGAAGCCTCGACTAATTTAGTCCAATGTTGTGCTGCTATTATATCGGCATCCGATCAAAATCAGGACCACTTAGTCGCTCAGCTATTAACACCTCATTTGGAGAGACTTCAAGATTTAGTGAACAACAAAGCAAATGAAAGTCAAATTGTTATTTATTTCGATAGAATTGCCGCTATATTTAGGAAAATGAAATTAAGTGAAGTATCACTTCATTCACCAATATTAGCCTCATTAGTGAACGACCAGTTATGGCCATTGGCTAGCATTGCATTGACGGCATACGCGGCAACAAATCCACATTTAATTGAGAGATGTAGTCGTTGTTTGAGATTTCTTATCCGTTCATTCAAACCCTCGTGGCTTTTGCAGCCAATTGTCAACCAAATTGTGCCACTCTATCAACAATTTCCAAATCACACCTCATTTCTCTATTTGGGATCCATTTTAGTGGATGAGTTTGCATCTGAAAATGACATTACTATATCTTCAGGACTCATCCGAATGCTTAATGTATTATATATTTATTATTTATTAATTATTTATTTTATTAATCTAATAATTTAATTGTTAGGAATTTTCATTGACTACGTTTAAACTGTTATGTGATTCCCAATTACGACAACATCCCGATACTATCGATGACTTTTTTAGACTTTGCACTCGGTTTGTGATTAATTGATTTAAATAAATACCGATAATTGTTATTTAATTAAACATATTTTACAGAATTCTTCAAAAATGTAGTAATGCTTTCTTAAATAACGATATGTTGGATAATATATTGAAGTTATTGATAGCCGCAATGCCATTAGAGCACCAGGATGCCAATGGATCAGTTGTCAAGTTTGCTATTGAGTTGATTGAAGTAAAAAATTATAGACATTTGATTGAGAAGTTGCTTAAAGAAGGTTTTGGCCAAAAATTGATGGATGCAGTCATCAATGCATCGCTCTTTCATTTGCCATCATATATGGTCACAGATATGACTGATATTTTATGGAGTTTGATTTCATTTGATCGAAATGTATATTATTATTATTATTATTATTTTATATTATATAATATTATAATCTATTATGAAATAAATAGGCAGCAAACGAATGGTTGGCCAATTCATTGAAGTCAGTGCCGGCGCAAAATAACACAACAATGACTACCGCCAGTACCGAACAATTGGAGGATTTCTACAAAGACTGCATTAAGTAATTAATTTGGATTAATGAATGATTTATAAATTAATGAATAAATCTTATATTCAGAGCAAGTAATCCAAAATTGATCGCCAATTCATTGCGATATTTGGCACGACTTTATCGATAGTATGGATAATTGAAAAGTATTATTGATTTAGCAAATGTTGTTTCGACGAACTAATAAATTAAAAATAAATTTTAACCACATTTTTTGAATTATGTATTTTTATTTTGATTGTTATTTAATTGATTGTATAATATTGAATGACTATAAATAAATGAATTACAATTATTTAAATTTTAATAATGTAATTAATAAATTGAAGTCGAAATTACAACTGTTTAAGGCTTATCCTTAAAGGAGTGTCGACTTTTTGTTTTATACTACTAATATAACTATTGAATCTATTGAAACAATTGTATCTATTTATTGGCAATCCTATGATAATACTGTATACAGTATTTAATAAATTATAATTATTTCATTACTTTTTAATTCAAAAGTTCATTAAAAACACTTGAAACTAAAAGTTTGGGTTCAGTTTCTACAAATGGCTATTGTTTTCAATTAAATTTACGGTAATAACTAATTTTATTATTACAGTATATTATCTACAATATTATGATAATATTCTAAATGATAAATCAAAGTTATAACCACTTTATATGTCAAGTGTTGTTAGAGGTATGCAAATAGAAATTTCTAATAAATTTCTCAAAAATTAATTTTCTAGAAATTTTACTTTATTATTATACTATGATATCCCCATATCTATAGCTATTATAATACTATCATAGATATAAATTTACTATACATTACACTATTCTACAAATGCTATCTCTATATTATAATTAGTTTTGTAAAATTTTATTCATCATTCAATTATATTTCAAGTTTAGTGTAATTAAATAGATTTATTATTATTTTTAAAATTAATTAAAATACTAATAATAATATTTAGTTATTATTTATAAATATTATGTATTGTTAAATAATAACAAATATCGAAATAACAAAATTAACATTGGGATCCCATAGACAGAAATTTATTTTAGAAACTTTCTAGAAATTTCTCTTTTTTTGCCACTTTAAGTGTTGTATTGAATGATAAACTTTAATATTTAAAATACATTCGGATTAACATTAAATATTTATTATTAACTAATATTAAAATATAGTTTATTAAAAGTGTCCATAGTGATTATTACTTTATAAAAATAATAAATATTTATAAGTTAATGATTTATTTTATCAAAATATCAAAATTATGATAAAAATATACAAACAGGAAAATAATAGTGTAATAAATAAGTACGGTTACCTATGCTTTATACTTAAGTTAACTTAAATTTAGTAAAATTTTATTTAAATAAAACAATAATTTAATTAACAAATTATTGTAAAAACGTAAAATTGGATACTTTTAATATACTGAACATAAATAGCACTTTGACTACATTTATTAGCCATCAAATACCTGCCGACATATTTAAAGGTCAACCCTTTGTTTTAAGTCACTCTACAGTATAAGTAACAGAACTGTCAATTCATTATATGCTTTGATATGTCTGTACTATAGGACTAAAACTATTGAAATATATTATCAAAATTAAATAATTAAATAAAATGATTATTTTTAAAATTATAATAAGTTTTAATTCATTGGTTCGCATAAAAAGTAAATACACTAAAACTTTTGGCTAAACTTTTTACATAAGGTCTAAGCAAAAGACATGGAAAACATAATAATTTCTTTTCAATGCAATTATTAAATTATTATTTAAAAAATTATTTATGAAAAAAATATATAATTAGTGTCTTTAAAAAAACATTTTTAGTTATGAATTAATAACCATTTATTATATAAAAGTATATTTTAATATCTATTAATATTATTATGAAATACATAAATATTATTATATTATACTATTAAAGATTGAATTATTATACATTTATAGGTCCTTTGCATATGAAACGACGCATTTTGATATACATTTTAAAACAATTATTACGGATAGTAATGTATAAATAACATTTTAGTTTTAATTATTTTTATAAAGTAGACATATTAATTAAATAATTATTAGATTTAAATTTTATTTACTCTAATTAATATTAATTTTTAAAAATTGATGATTTAAATTGCAAATTATTGATTTCGATTCAAAATTACATTGTTTTGTATGGAAAGATCATCAATTTGTCATACAATGTAATATAAATCATCATATTTTAAAAATTAATATTAATTAGAGTAAATAATATTTCAATCTAATAATTATTAGATATATTGGTCCAATGTGTTAACTTTAGAAAAAAAATAAAATTATTGAATTATTCAAACTTTTTAAATTAAAAAATGTTACAAAAATTACTTTCTTAAATCTCAAAATATGTCGATATTATTAAATTAATATTATTTAAACTAATCTAAAATTGAAACTATTTAATATTGCATATGTTTAATTAATATGTCTACTTTATAAAAAAAATTAAAACTAAAATGTTATTTATACATTACTATCCGTAATAATTGTTTTAAAAAGTACACCAAAATGCGTCGCTTAATCTGCAATAGCAGTGTATATACAGTATTTAAATTTATAATAATGTATTTACTGTTGAAATCAAAAATGTTTAATTTATATATAAACAAATATATTAAAATCTATAACAAATCTTATTTTTAGATATTTGTTTTTCTATTGATTCATCGTTATTATTATCAATTTTGAATAAAACAAATTACATAATTTTATTATTTAAGATATTTAAAAAAAAACTAATTTTCCATTTCTATCAATTTATCTTAATATCTAAATGAAATTTCTTACACATTAATAATGACTTTTATTTAGTGTTATATATTTAAACATAAAAAGTATTTTATAAAATTTTAAATTCAATATTTGAGACATATTATCATATATAAAATTATATATTGTGTTTATTAAATTATGATTAGAGAATAAAAAATACATTATAATTAATTGTAATATTAAATGTAGAGAAAAAAATTATATTTTTGAAATATAAATAATAAATATTATGTTTAATATTTCTATCAAAGTTAATCAAGGATGTAAAGGGCAAATTAATTTTACCTTTTAAATCATAATTTTACAATTTAACCCCTGGTTTCTACTAATTTTTTAGTTATTTTCCATTTACCCCCCCCCCTACACATACCTAAAATCGAAAACCTTGATTAACTCAGATTTTATATACAGTAATTTTATTTATAGTTGTAATTATATATGTAATGATATTTTGTTTAGACTAAATATAATTTTATTTTCTAATTATGATGTATGCAAAAATTAATACACATTTAATACATGACATTAATATAGAATAGCAAATCCTTAAAGTGAGCTTAATTTAAAAAGAAATAAGTCAAGTAACTTATTTTTTATTATAAAATATTTTATCATGCTCAAATAAACTATAACTACTTAATTGTTTACTTACTAATCTATATAAAATTCTATTAATATTAACTAAAATTATCAATAATAGTTAATAATTTTAAACAATAAGGTTTTTTTTAAACAAATAGTCATATTTTGGGAATATCAGGTATAAACTATAATTTAGAATAGTTTTAAAAAATTTAAGTAAATATAATCTAAAATATACTGTACTCTAGAGTACAAAAGTTAAGGGGACAACAAAAAAAAGATTATAAATAAATTATTTATTTATCAATTAATGCATTGATTATTATAACACTCTGGGTGTGAGAGTAATCAAAATTGTGGTGAAGAGAAAACTAAATGTTTATATCCTGAGTGTCTCTTCTAATATAAATAAGCTGTTTATACAAATTATTAAGTTTTATATTATAAATCTGTCAAATATGGCTTATAGTAAACATATCGTTATATTTGTTGCGTTAGTTCTTCTGGTTTATTGCAAACCAGAGGAAAGCCATTCAATGGACATACAGTACAGTCCTGATTGGAAATCAGTAGACAATCGGACACTTCCCGATTGGTATGACGCGGCAAAAATTGGTATATTTATTCATTGGGGTGTCTTCTCGGTGCCATCATTTGGCAGTGAATGGTTCTGGTAAATGATATATTTAATTTATTCATTATTATTGGACATAAATATCAAATTATTTGATGACATAAATAGGTGGAATTGGATGGGAACTAAAGATAAGGGTTATATCGATTATATGACACATAACTTTAAGCCTGGCTTTACTTATGCCGATTTTGCCAATCAATTTACGGCTGAATTTTACGATCCTAATCATTGGGCCGATGTTTTCAAGTATATTCATTCAATAATATTAACAATTATAGTAATTATAATAATAATATGTATAATCTATTGGTGTAAACTTGGAAAAGGGCTTCGGGTGCTAAATATATAGTATTGACGAGTAAACATCACGAGGGATACACTTTATGGCCGTCCAAAACATCGTGGAATTGGAATGCAAGAGATATCGGACCCAATCGTGATTTATTAGGTTTGTCTCTATTATTATTATTATTATTATTATTATTATTATTATTATTATTATTATTATTATTATTATTATTATTATTATTATTATTTTATTTATTTCAATTAGTATAAAAAATTAAGTCATTAGACAAATATGAAAAATTATGTACAAAAATAGAAAAATCAGATGAAATAGTGGTCTACCTGCTAACTATAATACAATATAACTGATTAAATATAATACATAGTATTTGTTTAATTTATAATATGTACTGTAGTTTTATTAGTACTTATGTTTTCAACACATTTGAAATGATAATCCTTTAAAACTTTGTTTTTATTAGAATTTACATTTTTGTTATCTTATATTATACTTAGTATTATTTTTATTTTACCCAACATTTGTTTGTTTGTTTAATAAATTTCTCGTTTAAACAAACAAATCATAAAAGAGAAGCATTGTTTCGTAAAATAAAAACTAAAAACAATATAAGTTTAAAAAAACAAAAATTTTATTTATATTTTTGATACTTTTATAAGTTTAAATTTTTGACTCATAAATATAATTTTATATGATGCTTTAATTATAATATTAATTTAAGACAAATAATAAACTATTATATTAAAAAGTATTTTTTGACAATTAAAACTACTGGTTTAAACTGGTTAGTATTTTATGTACAAAATGTAAATTAAAGTATAAAGTCACTCAAGTGTGTATTTTCAATGTTATATAATAAGCTAACATACAGTAAAAGTTTATTATTTTAAATTTTTGGTTATATTTTTATATTCAAAATAGAGATGTACATATAAATTTTAAATTTCTAAAAAAAAAATCCATATGAAAATTTCTGAAAATTGTGACAAATGAAGTTATTGTTAACTTTTAATATCAAATTAATAAATTTAATTAATTACTAATAATATTAATTAATAACTAATAATATTAATATTAATTACTGATAATCACAAAGCGTTAATATCTTAATTAAGTCTGATTTGTAAATGACATTTATAAAATTATTTGTACAATAATAATAATATTTTAATATTTAAAGCTTATTTGTTGCCTTATTTCAGCTAATTAATGAATTTAACAATCTATTATATCAACTTTTATTTTTAAAAAACTTATTTAGCTTAATATTCATTTATTAACTTTTAAAAAATATTACTTAAAAAATATCTTTACATTTAATTATTGTTTCAAATGGTAAAAATAGCTGCGATAAATGAACTCAATTATAAATTTTATAATTGACAATAAAATACTTTATTATAACATTACTATTTAATATTTTGAATATATTTTTGATTTATATAAATTTATTAAAACAAACAAAATTAGGTGATTTGGCTATAGCTGTTCGTAAGGCAGGTCTTAAATTTGGTGCATATCATTCATGGTATGAATGGTTTAATCCACTTTATCTCAAAGATAAGGATAATAAATGGCAAACACAAGACTTTGTTAAAGTTAGTGAAAATAAAATTTGAAAAAAATAAATAGAAAATTATATTTCTATTTATTGATAGTTTAAGGCAAGACCTGAATTAGAAGAACTAATCAATACATATAAACCAGAGGTTATTTGGTCTGACGGTGATTGGGAGGCACCCGACTCTTACTGGAACAGCACTGACTTCTTAGCCTGGCTTTACAATCAAAGGTAACATTAAAAATACTATTTCAATAATAAATATTAAAACTTACTGTATATCTATGTTTTGTTTTGTTTTGTATTTATTTTTTTTTTAAATAATAGTCCCGTCAAGGATACAGTTGTTGTCAATGATCGCTGGGGTATTAATTGAATAAAAAACTAAGTTTCTAATATTAGAAATTAAAATATATTTGATTATATAATTTGAAAGGTGCTGGAACATCGTGCAAACATGGAGGTTATTATAGTTGTGCAGATAGATATAACCCAGGTACTTTGCAAAAACATAAATGGGAAAATGCTATGACTTTAGACAAGTATTCGTGGGGTTTTAGAAGAAACTCTCAATTAAGTGATTATTTAACATCTCATGAATTGATCACAACATTGGCACAAACTGTTAGGTATTTTCAATTTATTGAACAAATTATATTTATTTGGTATTTAAATAAAATTTTATAATTAAAGTTGTGGTGGAAATCTGTTAATAAATATTGGTCCCACACATGATGGTCGTGTAGTTCCCATATTTGAGGAAAGATTAAGAGATTTAGGCAAATGGCTTGATGTCAATGGAGAAGCAATTTATAGCACTAAAGCGTGGACTCATCAAAACGATACGATTACTAAAGATATTTGGTAATCATTTCTGCATCACTTTATTTTAATGATAATTACGGTAATATATATATATATATTTGGTTACTTCAGGTATACTAGCAATGGTGGTAAAATAGTTTATTCGATAGTATTGAATTGGCCCGAAAATAATAAAGTGCTATTGGGTGCCGTCCAATACAATACAGTGGACACCATTCAACTTATCGGTATTAAAGGAAATGTTGAGTTTAACAACTCTGACGGACATACTTTAGTGACCTTTCCTCCGGTCAATCCTCAACTATTACAATGGGCTTATGTACTCAAAATTAACGTTAAATAAATACTATTTTCAATTCTTATCAGATTTTGTTGTACAGTATATTATATTTTTAAATGCTTTTATCAAAATAGTATTTATGAAATTTATATTATTTTTTATTATTAATAATAATTGTGGTTTATTTTAAAGATTTAAAACAAATATGTTTTTTATTTTATTTTTCTGTATACTGTAATAACACACACAAGTTTGGCTATTAAATTGTAGAAAAAGTAATAAAAAATTGTGATATTAATGTTTGACATACAGTATCTATTGCTGAGATACCAACAATAAGAGACAAACAAATAATTATTTCCTTTTATTTGCTACAAATATTTTAATAAAATTTTTCAATGTACTTAAACAAAAATTTTATAGGTTTTTTAAAAAACGTTATAAATCTTTTTATGAAATCATAAGTTGTATTATACAATACTACTTTTTTATTACTTTGTTTTGATTTTATTTGTTTTTTGTTGATAAGTTTGGATAATTCAGAAAATTGGCTAAAAATAAAATTTCTAAAAAAAGAAAGAAATGGTTAAAATGTAATCACAATTTAATCGATAGATTAGACTTTTTTTGTTTTGCTTCGTTAAAATACAAATAAAATTCATTATTTATAATATATTTTATTTACATAAAAGCATTTAAAATGTTTGTCGATAGAGATATTGTATTATTGGTTAACTTTATTTTTTCCGGATATTACGCACAATTAGCTCTTAATTAACTTTTGTAAAACAAATTAATTTACATTTAATTTATTACTTTATGCTAAAAATCTGTAATAAATACTAAATGAGATCTAAAATTACTACAAAAAATTATTTTACTAAAAATCTCTGAGTCGTGGATAAGAGTCGTGAAAATTTTTGCTTTTTATTTCTTTCTTTTTAGGTGTTTCCCTCTTTATTGACTACAAAATTACAGACACTATACTATACAGTATACACAGTATTATATTCAATATAAATATAACAACATATTAATTATATTTAATTACACAATAGCCAAATAGCAAATTTGTTAGTGTTTTAACTATATTAACCAAATTTATTTTTAAAGTTCTTGTAATATAAAAAAATATAATAAATTGATTTTATAAATTAGTTAAATTAGTTTATAAATACAGTTATTATAAATAAAAAAAAACATTGATTTGATCCCAATATTATTCTTGTGGTACTAAGTATTATAAACTTAATTAATTTATATCTTATCATAAATCCTAAAGATTTGAATTATATTTATAATAAGACAATTAATACCGGTTTGATATACATTTGATAAACTCGTTGAGCTAATCAACTTTGAAATGGAAGTCATATTTTAATTAATAATACATAAATAAAAGTGTTGTTAGGATTTATATAATTTCAAACTAGTTTTTATTTAATGATTTAGTGTAAAATCGGTTACACTATTTTTATATTTAAAAAATTGCTAATCAATAATTCAATTTATTTTAAATTGTGATTCATTAAATTACTATTCATATGAATTATATAAATAATTTAATATATAGATATCTTAATTAAATATATAAATTAATATAATAATAATTAATAATTTATTAACATCAATAATAATAATAATAATAGTTTTGTTAATACTTGAAAAACATTTATTGTAAAATTATTTAAACATATAATCCAAGGTTGCGATTAAAACAATAAGTTAAATAATCTTATCATATAATGAAATTTATAAAAATACCATGTTTCAATACTTCTAGAAAATATTTATTTTAAATTCATACATGTTTTTACATAACAAAACAATAAAAATATTATAATCATACATTTATTGTTTATCTTTTAAATGTTAATTATAAAATATTATTATAAAAAAACCAAATGCAATGTTTTATAATTTATAAATTAACTTTTATATATAATAAATATTACATATTTATGTATTAAAAATTGATTAAAAAGTTATATCTTTTAAAAAATATAATATTTTATATTTCAATAACATTATATATAAATATTTTCTAATACTATTTATTTAAAATATTTCTGTCTATCTATAAATTACAAATATTATATTTTAATTATAAAAATTAACTTTTATTGATTAACTGTTATTGATAAATAATGATTTAAAAATAGTAGATATTACTGTAAATTTATATAATTAATGAAGATAGACTAATTTTAATAAATAAATAAATATTAATTTTTGTTGAGTTTTTGTGGAAATTTTTAGTTACAGTAATTTTCAAACTATAGTTTGATTTAATAGTTTATTTATCAATAATTATTATTTTTTGTCTGAAAATTGTTTTATGAGATAAATTTGTCTTTTTATTTTTGATGGTTGTTTGGCAACGATTAGTCATTGAGTTAGTGGTGAAATCGGAGCACAAAAGTTGATTTGCTTGACTTCACTGTCAAACAGCTAATCATTATGTATTGAAACAAAACAAATAATAAAAAAAAGTTACACTTAATATAAAGTTTATTTAAATAATACACTGTTATCTCATCCGGCACTATATTTATCTTTAATATTGCAATTTTACATGTACAATTTAAATAAAAATTGCCATATAATTAATTGATTAATTGGTTTAAAAGTAATGAAAATAACCAATTATTTTATTAGTTTTAATACACTTGTTCAAATTAAGATAATTAAATTAATGTAATTTTAATAATTAAACATTATTTTATTTAATATAAAAATAATAGAATTTCAGTTAATTAATTAATTAAAGCATTTTATGCTCATTTGATTTGAATATTTGCATTTCAACTATAATTTGTTAAAAAATAACAGTTTTAATGAAAAACTTGATATATGTTATGAAACGAGTTGGTGTCATAAGAAATATAATAAATGATATTATCATATAAATGGTAAATACATTGCAGATATGTTAACCAATCAATGGCATTAAAATGGACACTCAAATGCTGACAAAATATGATTATATAATATAAGTAAACGTTTTTCTAAATTCCGGTTTTTTAAAATAAAACTTTTCAAAATAAAACTAATATTTTTGCACCGATTTGTTTGGTGCCAACCCAAGAAAGCCTATAAAGGAGTTGTCACTCACATCATGTGTGACCCCTCTAGATATCATTGCAGGTATTAAAGGTGCAGATAGTAGTTGAGGCACCGGATTATAGCTTGACTTTTGATTTAGAAATAATTAAAAGTTTGCTTTTAATGCATTTGAAAATTAGCATAAGTTAGAAGCCATTAGGAGTTCCCACGAAATATTGTATTATCACTATGTTGTTTGTCTCATATGATTTGATTTTTATCGCCATTTGGTAAATAGACTCAAACTTTAATATATAATATATAGTCTAAATTTAGTGTATATCTGAACATATAAAAAGTTTTTTAAGTTAATTCATATATAATTTTTAAGTGGAGCCAACTCTATATATGAGTGAGGGGTAGTGTATGTGCCAGTGGTTTGTAGTTTACTTAAGTTTAGGTTTGAGTCCAACAAAAAGGGAGACCTAATGGTTGAGACAAAGAGAGTATAAGTGAGGAAACGGTGCTATAAGTGGTTATGAGTCCCCTCGAGAAACTGGTTCTGCTGTTTGATCACTAAAAAGTAATACTAAGAAAAAGCAGTAAAAACTTATAATCACTACATTATATTATATATATATATATTTTCTACAATATCTTTATGCATAACTAATAGTGTATTAGTCATGACTTACAACCCGCAGGCTATTATTGACTACAAATATAGCGTTTATTTGAATTAAAATTATATTCATCCGATTCTTACAACAATCATAATTGAGATAACCATCAAAAATATAGTATATATTTGCATTCAATACACAATTGTATAATATTTGGAAATCAAAACAATATTTAATTAAAAATGTTTGCATAAAGTGTATGTAATGTACTGTACTATACAGGTATGTAATTTATTATTTATAATGAAAAACATTTAATTTCTATTTAAAAAAATGGCAACATTCGTGTTAATCTATATTTATGTAAAAACAGTATGTAAAGCATATTATTAAAAAATAAATAAATATAATATTAATAAAACTGATCAGGTCTATTTATGCATTTCTAGTTTGTCATCAATTGCACAACTTATAAACTATTTCATAGCAAATAGTTTTCATCAAAACTTATATAACATTGAATGTCAAGTTTAGATGAGACACAACTTGTCATATGTTTGATAGGGTTGTCACCAGAGTTCACACTAAACATGAATTGGTGTACAGTTTATGGTTAAACAACACTCAACAATATAACACTCAATACTTGATTCAAAAATTGTGAAACTTTTACAAACTAGACATACATATAGGTATTAAATTCAACTAAATATAAAAATTATAATAATATCATTGTTTAGAAAAAATTTTATCCAATAATTTATAATTACAAATTTAAATATAACTTGTGATAAATTAATTTATTATATTATTAAGTTTGATTATGAATTAAATATTTTAGTAGTTTAACTAAATTTTAATTAAACTACTAAATAAAAATGTAAACATTTGTTATATTATGAGAATTCTTGAATTACAGTACTATTCTGACAAAAAAAATAATATAAAAATAGTATTAATTAATAATAATTATTATAAGGAATTAATTTTAAAATTAATGTATTGATAATATATAGTAAATAATATGAATACAAACTACAAAAAAGTAATTATCGGGTCTTTCGGTTCGGTTGTTGATTATATATCTGAGAGAACAGTCGTCTAGTAGTGATGTAGTCTTAGTCAATGACGTAATGTATGTGTAGTATATATTGGGCGTGTGTTTAGTGACGTGAGTGTGTGTGTGTGTGTGTATAGTATGCCATACTATGCTATACTATGCTATACTATGCCATACTATGCCATACATATGCCATATGCACACACATTGTGCACATTCATAGTATTGCATTGTATTCATACCCAACATATTCAGCATTTTTCGAAGTCCTGTCCAAACAGTGCAACAACTGTTGAGTTTCTCCACACTCTCTCTCAAAGCAATGCATAAAACAACTCAACGATAACTCCAAACGTATTTCCACTGAAAACACTGTATGTCTACTGTTGTGACCAATACTTGCTTTGTCTGCCAAAAACCTAACTGAGCGCTAAATTAGTGCATTTGATTAGTCAATAATTAGTTAATATTAGTTAAGACGTCTACAGTATTGACAATCTATTGAATGGACAGTTTGGGTGACATTCAAGTGATTGATGTGTTGTGTTGTGTAGTGTTTTGTGTGAACATTGAATGCGTTAATAGTTGTGATAACACAACACAACAAACACTACAAACATATTATTAAGTAAGTGATTGACTCTACATATCATTTGTAATCATATTTGACTACAATTAACACATTAGCTAACAGTGTCTAAACAAATGTCTAAACACTGTCTAACTGTGTCTTTCTCTATGTCTTTGTGTCTTAAAGTGTACAATGAGTTGAATCGCTTGTTTGATCCCATTTGTTGAGTTAGTCTTTAACTTTATTTCCGTTGAGTTTTTTTGAGCTTTTGTTGCATTTCTTATAAAATATTGGTTTGGCATAAGTGAGGCACAGGCAGTGTTGTCTGTTACCCCCTGACCCCCAATGTGTGCCTCCGGTGTTTGTGCACACAATAGTGTGGTCACAGCCCTCGTTATGAGACTCACCTGTCGTGTCGTGTTTCCTGAGCTCCCGTTCCCCTCTCTTCTCTGTTTCTCATAAGTAATAGTCTAATATTGGAAGTGGTGTTTGACTTGCAATACCTGTTTCAATGTCTGGTCCACACAAACCAACCAAACCATTGCACACATACATAATGGCCAACAATATGGCTAACTCTAAGCACTTGTAAAACCAGTTTCTCTTTATTTCATTTTTCGCTAAACTTTTTAGTTTACACTTAGATTTGACTTAATTTTTCTTATTTTAAATCAATTATATAAAGACATTATATGTACGATATATGAAAGGTATAGACATGTCGGGCGGCGCGGCACCACCGGGTTGGGGAGGGGGGGCTCCACAGGCACCTCATTATGCCGACAGTGAGGACTCGCTTCATGACGACGACAGCAGTAAAGATGGATCTCTTAAAGGTTCCGGTGATCTCAACGGCTCCGGTGGTGGCAGTGATGCTGAAGGAGTTTGGAGTCCTGATATTGAACAGAGCTTTCAGGAGGCGCTCGCCATTTACCCTCCTTGTGGTCGAAGAAAAATCATATTATCTGACGAGGGAAAGATGTATGGTATGTATCAATAATACATTATTATTATTATTATTAATTCAATGATTATTTGCCGTTAAAATTGAAATTATTTTTTATATTTCAATTTTATTATTTGCTTCAATACCAGTGTGTTATAGCTTTTATTGTAAATTATATTAATTTTTGTGTTATATATTTAACGCTTTCTCTGTTACATATAATTAATCAATATTTTTGAATTAATTATATATTGAACTGAATTTTCTTTAATATTTGATTTGTGATAAAACCATAAACTTTTTTGTTGTTTGCTCTCAAACCAGAATTGCATATATATTGACATGAATTTCAATTGGTTTTGAAGTTCAAGTTTGAAAATAATGAAAAATCAGTTAATGTTTTGCATAACTTATTCAAAACTACGATTGAATTGTAGGAAAATCTTATTTAAAAATCATTGCATATGACTAATCATTTTGTATTAATATTTTGTTTTTAGTTAAAAGTAGAACTTCAGGAAAAACTTAATTAAAACATTTATTTTAAAAGGCAATAGTTATGATACAACAAATCATCATATATTCAAAATAAATAAATAAATCACAAAATAGTATATTAAATGAGTTTTAAAGATCGTTTGGATTGGAAATATATGTTAAAAATAAGTGTAATAAATGGCAAGAGTTTTGTTGTTTGACTTGACTTTTAAAACTAAACGAAAAAGTTGGCATCAATTCAATGATCTGTTTTGAGACATATTTACATATAGTTTCTCCTATACTGAAACTACTGTATAGAATATAATATTATTTAGTTGATCCCTAAGCATAGTACTAGTCCTTCAATAACAGCATTTATTTTAGAGAGAAAAGACTGTCATATATATACTGATGGTTTGAATCAAACTGTATGTTGTGTTCAAAGTTTGACTGCAATGACTGCTCTCCACGTAATTAAATCGCTGGCATTACTGACATTCCTAACATTCCTCGTATCCAAGAGATACCAAATTCACCACTTATTACTGTATAGCTCTCTGTCCTATTTGATTGAGCTCTGCATCCAATAATAGCGAGAGAATAGGCATCCCTTACGTCATCCGTTAGTTACTTTCTCTCTCTTTGTATGCCATCTCCCATCTGCCTGTGCTCTCAACCGTACACATGAAATACAACTGCAATCCCATCGCTTGCATTGCATTTTGCTTATGAGTTCGCATTCCTAACATATTTTCATAGAGATATAAAATATAACAAATATAACATTGCATTTATAATATCCATACATTTTGAGTTATATTAGAGTTTTTGAGTTATATTTTAGTTGAAAGTAATAATGACTACAAATATACCAAATGGCATACAATGTGCGGTTCACTGAAACTGATAGTTTTGTTTGCTTTCAAATCTACTTTAATTTATAAATATAATGAAATTCAAAATTTTCATAAAACGCTGTTTTAGGTATAATAAATAAAATAATTGAAAATTTGTATAAATTATTAAAAATAAGTCGATTTTGACTGCTTTATAGACACCTGATTGTTATGCATTCATAGAAATTATAGTAATGTCATAATTTATAGGATATCTAATTTTTAAAAGAAAATATTTAAAATAAAAATAGTATATAAAAATGATATTATATATATATWTTTTTTTTGATAAACATTTAGCGAGTTTGATGCAAAATTACAAGAATATACTAGTTTAGTAATATTGGTTAATTAAAATTATTATTCAAGTAAATGATTATTAAAACCTTAACAACTTTGTTATAAAAGCCTACAAAATAAATTTTGATAATATTGAGAAATTATATATTCAATAATTAATTGAAATTTTTATATTACTATAAATAATTTTAGTTGCCTTTATTAAGTATCAATAAAAACTATTTTGTGTGCATAATAAATGCATTATTAATTACTGAACAGTTTTATTTTTTAAACATTTAATATTAAAATGATTTATAAAATTGTGTGAAACTGACCACTGATGGTGTGACAGTACGCCTAATGACTAATAATGGCTAAATACATCCATTTGTTATTTTTAGGTCGAAATGAGTTAATTGCAAGATATATAAAATTACGAACCGGCAAAACCCGAACCCGTAAACAGGTTTCTAGTCATATACAAGTATTGGCCCGACGGAAGGCTAGGGAAATACAGTCTAAGCTGAAAGTGGACAATAAATCATTACATTCATTGACGCCCTCCCAAAAATCCGCACACCACGCCCATCACGCGTCACCTCATGTGGCCGCTGCCGTCGCTGGATTGGCCACTCTTGGTCTGGCGCCTCCAGTAACCCCATATACACCATCACCAGTAAGATAAAAGAAAACAAGTTTATTATAGAAATTTAATATTATTTAATTAAATAATTAGTTTTGGCAATCCATGGGTCCGACCAATAACGAAGACATCAAACCTTTTAACAATTCAACCGGTGGTCAATATATTAATAGTAATAATAATAATAACCTGAATTCAGGTCCCGTATGGGAAGGTCGGGCTATTGCCACACAYAAGTTGCGATTAGTGGAGTTCTCCTCATTTATGGAGAGACACGACAATGATAATGATAAACACCTGTTTGTTCACATTGGCATTACTTCACCCACTTATTCTGATCCAATGCTAGAGTCGGTAGACATCCGACAGATTTACGATAAATTTCCTGAAAAGAAAGGCGGACTCAAAGAGTTATACGATAAGGGACCGCAAAATTCTTTCTTTTTGGTTAAGTTTTGGGCTGATCTCAACACTTCACTTCTTGATGAGTCCGGTTCCTTCTATGGCGTCACTTCTCAATATGAAAGTACGGAAAATATGACCATCACTTGCTCTACTAAAGTGTGCTCTTTTGGCAAACAAGTTGTCGAGAAAGTAGAGGTATTGTACTTAAAGTGTTTATTTGTTTGTATTAATTGTTATAATAATATTAATAATAATGTTTATAAATTACAGACAGAATACGCTCGTTTCGAAAACGGACGGTTTATATATCGGATACATAGGTCTCCAATGTGTGAATATATGATTAATTTCATACATAAATTGAAAAATCTTCCCGAAAAATATATGATGAACTCAGTGCTCGAAAACTTTACTGTTTTACAAGTGAGTCAATGATGCGATACATTTATTTTTAGATACATTTCCACTAATTGTCTAAATGTTTCATTTCCTGTGCTGTCATGTCATTCAATCGTTTGTATCAATTGATTGATTGAATAGGTTGTGACAAATCGTGAAACACAAGAAACACTTTTATGTATGGCATACGTGTTTGAAGTCTCGGAAACGGCTGGAACTCAACATCACATCTACCGATTAGTGAAGGATTAATACAAACAAACCATTAAATATAAGCCATCAATTCATCCGTCAACTCATCCGCTCATCACATCATTAATAATATAAATATTTGTATCTCATTTGAATCATTGTCTCAGTTGTCATAACGTTTTTATGCCATAAATCGAAACAACAACAAAAATTGTAAATGACTTTTAAATAATTTTATAAATAATATTGAATTGCCATTAGAAAACGTGCCTCAATATCAACCCTATATTAGCGATATTATAATTAAATCATTTTATGATAATATCAGCTATTCTTGTCTTTTTTAAAGCAGACATTGATTTTGATCTTTAAATGATTTTGTTGTAAATTATTTATATAAATATATATTATATATTGATAAATGTGAAAAAGAAAATCATTTATATTATATAAAAAATAATTGTATTTAAATTGATATAATGATAAAAAATATGTACACAGATCTCACTTATTGTGCCATTGAATGAACGGCCAATTCTTTGTTTTATATAAATATATATATACTGTATATTTTAAGCTTTTTATGGGCAGCTCTTTTAGGGACTTAAATTGATAACTGTTAACATTTAGCTAACTTTCCCATATAAATTCTATGCAAAAAAAGAGCAGCACTTATTATGTTTTTAAATTAGCCATTTATAATTATTGTTTTATTTTTATTATTCTTGTTTGACAGCAAAATGATTATTTTGAGTAAAATAATGATACTATATTTAATTTTGATAAATGTAGCTCTAAATTTAATTTTTTAAATCTAAACATTTTTTTTCTTTAAATAAACAAAAATTTAATATTTAATTATATAATTATAGTAATGTAATTTTTTTATTTAAAGCAAAATTAAAAACAATTATATCTTATTATTATAATAATAATTATGTGATCCAAACAATTATCTATTTCTATTATTATTATTTATATTATTTATGTTTTTGTTTAGTAACTATTAAAATAATTTTCATTTATTTTGTTTTGTATTGAATTGATTTTTCAAACAATTTGCTGAACAACAGTACTTTGCCTTTTTGGATGACTCATACAAGTGCTGAACAATACCTAAGTTTAAGGTTAAGGCGTTTTGCGATATTTAGCTGTTTTTTGTTGTTATATAAGTGGCTTATAATATGTTTGGATACACAAAAAAAAACAGAAGAAAACCACAACTGAGAACTCGTTTAACTGAATCACAGATACAGTAAACCGATTCACAACTCAAGGACTCCAATGGATATATGAAATAATGGTTTACTTTAATTCACTATTTTATTCATTTTATTGACTTTTATTTCACGCAATCTTCAGCTTAACTCTATGTTTGACTTCAATTTGTTTTCAAATCTTTATATTCATTTTGCACACAATTTATTGTTTTCTTAAACATGTAGTTTAAAATCAATTTTCCTAACAAATAGACTATTATTAGCTGTCATGTAATGACTAATTTTTGCTTCCAATGAGTATTCATAGTATTTAGTCAATAGTTTTGATTAGTTGGATCAGTAATCTGTATTTAATATGATTTTCATTAACCTGAATGTAATTTAATATTATTATTATTAATAAAGGAGTCTTTATTATTATTATTAAATAAATTATGATTAGCAAAAACTAATTTTATTTTTACATTTTTAAAAAGTAATAGTTTAGAGTCTAAACTTTAGATAAATTAGTTTATAAAGTTTATAAAATAATACTGTATTTATCATTGATTAATCTAATTAAAAATGTATATAAAAAATATAAAACTATATTTTTAAAATGTGATCAAAAACTTATTTTTCAAGAAATTCAATATTTTTGTATAATTAGAGTTGGTAAAAAATAGAAATTTCTAAAATAATAGGAAAATTTTTGGAAAGTTTCTAAAAGAAATTTCTGACAATGGGATCCCATATTAATTTTGTTGTCTCGATATTTGTTATTTTCAAACAATTCATTATAATTATAAATATTAACTAAATTTTATTATTAGTATTTTAATTAATATTGATCATAATAATCAATCAATTGAGAAAAAAAATAGCGCTAGAGATCCTCATTTTAGTATTATGGGTAATACTAGAGGTCCTGTACTACTACTTGACATTAGTTTACATTTGATATCTATGGTAACTAAATATTTGGTCAACTTTTTTGACACTACTCTTAAATTACGTTATCATATTTATTGCTATTAAGCTATTGTGTAAGCAATAAATATGATAACGTAATTTAAGAGTTGTGTCAAAAAAGTTGACCAAATATTTAGTTACCATAGATATCAAATGTAAACTAATGTCAAGTAGTAGTACAGGACCTCTAGTATTACCCATAATACTAAAATGACGATCTCTAGCGCTATTTTTTTCTCAATTGATTGAATTATTATTTTAATTATATTAATTTTATAAATAAGAATCCCATTGTATTAGTGTGTGGTATATATTATGTATCATTACTACAATATTACAATAGCTATAGATATGGGGATCCCATAGTATAATCATAAATTAAAATTTCTATAGAAAATTATTCCTGAGAAACTTTCTAAAAATTTTCTTAGGGAAATTTATTAGAAAATTTATATTTGCCCATCTCTATGTATAATTGAAATGCAAACAAAAATTTATCAATAACATTAGTTAGCATTTTTTACATTGATTTTTGAAATGCGATTACTTCTCAAATATTAATATAATTTACATTAAAAAGAAATACTAAAAAACTGTCTTTTGTTTTATGATTGACTTGCATTTTACAAAACAAATTAATTGCATATTTTTGAATATATTAGACAAAACAGTTGTCGCATATCAATAAATGTCTAAAAAATGAGACAAACATTTTACTGATAACTATATATTTTTATCGGTTATTGATTTCATATACAGCTTATTAAATAAAATTTTAGCAATATATATATATTAATAGTAATAATGTATTTAATTAGGAAAATATAGTAATATTAATTTATGGTATACTAATTTTTTTATAATTTTGATTTTTGTTTTGTTTTATACATTAAAATGTTAAAAAAATAAAATACAATACATTTGTTATTATAAGAATAATCATTAATCTATAAAATTGTGATTAAGTTTGTAAATATAACTATAAATAATCAAAAAATAATAACATATTAACTAACAAGAATAACATATTAAGTTAAAACTAATAATTTATATAAAACTAATTAATTATGAAAGATTTTTAGATATTTTATAAATTATTATAATTTATAAATTTGTGCAGTGATTCTATTAGAAGTAATTATTTGAAAAATTTAGATATTTATAGCAAAATTAGACAAATTTAGTAATATTTAAAAACAATATTTAAGTCTATTGACAACTATTGTTTGAATTATTAATTGTATAGGGTGAATTTTAAAACTTTACAAATTTAATTAACTAACTTAGTAACTGGCTGAATTGCAAATTATTAACTATGTATGATATGCATTTTATTAACATATTTCAAAACTTTAAATATTTATCTTATTATCATCATACTAACTAAATTTAACATTATAGTGTTTTAATTTAATTTAATTTTTATTTCTTTTAATTAAAGATGTTATAATTTTAAATATAAATAATTTTAAATAATGTAATCAATAATTAATTTTAATTATTTACTAATAAAAACACTAAGTTATCTAGATTAAATTTATTTAGAAATACTAAAATAACAACAAACATTGTTAACATATTTTAAAAATCAAGTTACAATTTCCGATTTGTTTAAAAAACTGATAAATTAAAAAAATATGTACAATACATATAGTAAAATATACAACTATTAAATTACACAATCTATTTATTATTAAATTTTTAATATTTATTTTTTATTCAACAAATAAATGTCTAATTGTTTCAAATGAAATGTTAGTTAATAGGAATGTCAAACCTATATTCTCTGAGCTATTGTTCACCAATGCGTGCATTATTTTCCTTTAAATTTTATCAAAATAATCGCCAAAACTCTTTAAAAATGAGCGGAACTTTACAAGGATTTTGGTTTTATTTTGTGTAATATTTTTTAGGGAAATACTAATTATAGATAAGTTATGATTTGTGAACCATTTATAAGAAAATATTTCTGTCTAAAAAACTACTTACAATTTAAGCATTTAACATATAAACCTATTGTTATAATTTTCATTATATAAAAAACTTTTTAAATGAAAAGTTTATAAAATTCAAATCATTAGAAAGTTTGGTTAATTTGTGAGCGTTTTGAAAGTCAGATGTCTATTACAATTTGTATTGTTTTACTGGTAGCCAGTGCTTCGGCACAACGAGGCAATGAATTAGGAGGACTCGGAGGTCTACTCAGCGGTTTAGGCGGTGGAGGTGGTGGTCAGGGTGGCGGACCACTCGGAGGTTTGGGAGCTTTGGGGCAACAATTAGGATTAGGTGGACTTGGAGGCGGTCAGGGAGGAGGTCTTGGCCAACTTCTTGGTGGTGGTGGTGGCGGCGGTAATGGAGGAAGAGGTAATTTGTTTATTTTTTAATTAAAAAGTTATTTATTATATAATTTATTAGGCGGTGGATTATTAGGTGGTTTAGATTTAGGCCAACTTGGTCTCGGAGGTGGAAGAGGAAATGGTGGTGGTGGTGGTGGTGGGGGGTTAGGACAACTCCTAGGCGGTTTAGGAGGTGGAGGAAATGGAGGCGATGGAGGTTTAGGACAGTTATTCGGTGGTGGAGGTGGAAATGACGGCGGTTTAGGACAAATTTTAGGCGGCGGTGGGGGCGACGATGGATTAGGACAGTTGGGTGGTTTAGGTAATGGAGGTGGAGGTGGTCTGGGAAATTTAGCAAATATAGGCGGTGGAGGTGGTGGAAATGATTTTGGAGGCCTCGGTGGTGGCGCTGATGGAGGTCTCGGAAATTTAGGAGGTGGCGATCTTGGAGGTGGCGGCCTTGGAGATGGAGGTCTAGGAGGAGGTCTTGGATTAGATCCATTGGGTCTCATGGGATAAAATAATCATTTTTTCAATTTTCATCACATAATTGTGTCAAATTGATTAATTTAGTAATTTATTTAATTAATTGCTATTTGTCTTTAAAATACTTTTAATTAGTTTTCAAACAATTTTTTAATTTATATAACACTTAAACTTATTTAAAAATTGTGTCTATTATTCATTGTAATTATATTGTAAAATAAAATATAAGTTTCATTTTATATATCACTTTTAAATATATTCTGTGTAAATGATATAATTTGTTTTCTATTTAATTTAAATATACTTTACATAATATAAAACCTTATTTTAAAAGTTTTTATTCATTTAATGTGAAGCGATATTATTTAGAATTATTGTACAATTAAAAAGTAAACAAAAATTAATTTAATTATTATAATTATACGTAATGTAAATTGTATTTTATAAATAATTTATAAAAATAGTCATAAAGTCTTTGTTTAAATAGAAAGATTAAACTTGAATTTTAAATTAAAGATTATTTTGATTTAAAGCCACAAAAACTGGATTTATTTAAAAAAACAACGCCTCCAGTGATGGATATGTTGTTCCCATTAATTGAGAGATCTTTGAGATCGTTGTCCTAATTGTGTTCACTTAACATAAAATTTATTTAAAGTAAAAATTATTTAAACGGTTTCAAAAAATATAGTCATCAAAAAAATGAAAAATCTAACAGTAAGTTTAATTAAATATGGTTTAAATTGTTTTTTATTTCAGATTATTATTAATAATAATTTAATAGTTAATATCAATAGTTATATATCTGGCGACAGTAATTTGTCTAACCCGTAGCGAACCGCCCACTCCATGGACTCCATATCGCGGACCCACCAAAAAACCGGCGCTATTTACAGTATGGGATCTGATTAACAATCCCGACGGTGAAGTAGTCGGTGGACAGTATATCCGTCGATGTCGTGTATGTGATATGCCCCGACTCTTTCTGGCTCTCAGATAATCATTTTTTGTTTGCCTAAAATTATAATACATATTCAGTCTATTGTTTCATTCAATTTGATATCCTTTAAAAATTCAAACTTCCATTTTAGAGGTCATTCATTATTTTTGCCAATTTATATAAAATTTAATTTTTAAAATTTTTATTCGTTAAACATTATCTAATAAATCATTATATTTTAAAATAAATAATTGTGTTGTTATACCTGTAAGTGATTTTAGTTTTTTTTAATTATTATTAAAATACTATTTTTGAGTTAACACGTAAATAATCTTAGCTTGAATTCGGGTTATTTAAATATTAACAAAACTTAAAAATAAAATAAATATTTACTGTATTAATCTATTAATAGATATCAAAGTAAACTTTATTTAATGTAAAAATTGAATTCTACTGATACATAGTATTACATACAATAGTATTGCAAATTTGATATAAATTTATAATATTAAGGCACTGATATGTAACCTCAAGTATGTGCTATATCTCCAAAACTATAAAAACTATTTAAATTAGATTTAATAACAAAATACATATATATTAATCAATAATCATTAGAGAAGGTGTTCAACATTTCTTTGTGTCATTACTTTTGAAACCAATATTTTTAATATCATAAAATACATGACATAATACAATGTCAATACAATTATTATATATTTTATAATTAATTATATAAGCAATTACTTGTGATATTATAAATGTTTTGTTAATGAAATTTTACATAATTGTTATGCAATTAATAATACTTTTTTAGTTAATTAATTTTTTACATTTAAAACAAAAATCAATTAAAATTTCTCTTATTTCCTGTTTTTTATATATTATATGATAATAGAAAAATATGTGTATTTTCAATGCAATATACAAATTGTAGTAATTTTATAATATGACAAAGTTTTACTAAAAAACTATTAAATAATATTTTCAATAATGAAATGACATTCAAATTTGTTTTCAAAGAGGATAACAAATTAATGATAAACTAATGAATTATCAGAAAATGTTTATCAAAATATTTTATGAAAAATAGTTATCATTTATTTGTTTATTAATAAAATTACAAATTATTATTATTACTACAGTATTAACAGTCAGTAAATGCTATTTCATATTATAGATAACATAAGTAGACATAAAATTAGCCAAAATTAATGATTAGTTGAATATAGCAATCGTTATACACTTTATTTAACTAAATAATGAATTGAAAGTAATTATAGACACGTGTTATACGTGTTATACGTGTTATACGTGTAGAGAGGCGTCACTCTGTTTGTCGACAAACAGTCAAAACAAGTGTTTGTTTGTAAACAACGAATTTTTATTGTGTTTTGTATGAACTGATAGCTGAAGACAATGTCGTCTTCAAGAGATACAGTCATAGCAGACGTCGAAAGATTGGCTAAAATGTGCCGAAAACTAGAGACCAATCTATTGATCGGCAAATTGGAGTTATCATTGACTGATACACTCATCCATTGTGTCTTCAATGACAACAACAACTCAAGAGACGACAACAAAAATAATTATAAATACAATTATTTGAAACAACTGTTTCGTAAAATACCACAAATAAAGATAACCAGTGATAACATCAGATTGACCACCGATTTGATGAAGATTTCGGTCGACGCGTTTGAGTCATGTCTGTCACTTCAGCTGATCCGTATTGCATTCAATCGGTTAGACGGTTTGGACCAATTGAGACCACACGTCAAGACATTGAATTGTCTCAAATGCTTTGACACTCAATTACTTGACGAAGACTTCTGGCAAAAGTTTGGTGTTTGGCCACAACTGACATCTTTGAAGTTGAGTCACAATAACATTATATCAATAAAAGGATCAATGGTTCCGACATCTGTCACTGTTCTTGATCTCAGTTGGAATCACATAAAACTCTTCACTAATATTGCCAACTATTCTGTTATTGCAATCAATAAACTGGATCTCAGTTACAATTGTTTGCTTGAAGTGCCAAAACTTAATACAATTTGTTGTCTATCTCTCAGATCTTTATATATTCGCCAAAATCTTATCGAAGCCATTGATGGCATCGAGAAGTTTACAAATCTTGAAGAACTGGATATCGGAAATAATTGTATGATTGACTTGAATAAAGTTATTTCATGTCTTAAGAAATGTAAATCTTTAAGAAGTTTATGGATCGATGGAAATCCTTTTGCTTGCGATCGCAAAGCTATTGTTGTTATTCATAAAGAGTTACCTTTTTTATTAAAACTCAATGAAATAGTTAATAGAAATCAATCAATAGTTGAAGCATTAGATAATAAGTCAGACATTGTTAGGGATAGCAATTTGATGACCAAATCGACAGACGATGAAAGCGAACTTTATTTTGATGCTTCTTGTGATTCAATGGATTGTAGTTTAATAAGTGGATCCGTTAAGAATGGAGTAAATAAGAAAAAGAAACACAGAATTGTTGAGATTAAAGATCAAACAGATATTAGTGATGATATTGAATCAAAACCATGGATTCATAAAAATGATGATAACTTGAATGAAGCACAAGAGCTGATACAAAAGCGTAAAGAAGGTGGCGATGAATGGCTCATCTCTTTGAAGCCAAGTCTTGAAAATACATCTTATATAAAACAAATATTTGAAAACAATGGAGAAAATACTTCGGCTTTAATTTGTGATTTTAATTCATTAGATTTTAATATCTCTTCGCCGATAGCAGTATCGACACCACGAATTGATCGTAAAGTATCATTGGAAAGCAATACTACCAATGATGACGGCATTGATATAATTACTGAACCTATAAGTAATTGGACGGATAAAGAGTTGGAAAACGACACAAACATAATAATTGTCGATAATTTAGATAATAATGAAACCATTTTTGTTTATGTCAGTGAAGAGGATGGTATACTCTTTGAAAAGGATAGTGAAGGAAAAATGCTAAGAACTCATGATCTAAAAGTATTAATAAACGTTGAGATAATTAATAATGTGATCCTTAAGATGCGTTTTGATACAAAAGTTAGTTTTAAACGCGAAGTCAGATATCAATTCAATAATACAGAGTCTTGTTTAGCATTTAATGAAAAATTTATAATTCCTTGGCTTTCGAAAAAACGATTGATAGTTAAGAAAGAACTTCTATACCAATGTCTTGAATGCGGACAAACAAAAAGAAGTTCATTTCAGGAATTATGTTGTGGTATTTGCGGAAGTAATTCAATGGTTAAAAATAATGACAACAACCATAAACTATATCCTATGAAATCACCACAAAATCAAACAGATAGTGAAGAAGAAGAAGAAAACCAAACAGTAGTTGAGAGCAATGTTTGGGAAGAGTTGTGTTCAATCGATAGCTCTTATGATAATTCATTCTTTACTAGTGTTGAACACAGTCTTAAGTTATACATTGAAGTTAAACTATTTTCTTCGACATCTGAAGAAGAAGAAGAAGTACTCGAAGCACTTATTAAATGTCGAACATTAGTCGGTAACCAAAAACACTTGGAATCGTCTTATTTAGTCATTTCCAACAAAAATATTTTGATTATAGCCATCAATGAGAATGAAGATTATGATAATTTAGACGCTTATCTTAGACTTGTTATCTCTAAACCGATTTCTACGATATCTAATGTCAAAGATCTTCCAATTCTTTTGGCAGAACAAGGATTTTGGATTGAATTTAGAAATGATGGCAAAGAGTTAGAGCAAAGATCGAAATCGAAGTCATTTCTTAATAGATTTGGTTCAGTAAAGAAGTCATCCTCAGCTGATTCATACTCTTTATATACATTAATTGTCTTCTTTGATGATATTATTGGAAAATCATTTATTACATATTTTAAGGAATCGACTCATAAATCACTTTTAATACATAATTATCAAAATAAAAATGAAAAAATAATTTTTGAAAATCCAATGCCATTTAATGATGACATAATAATTATATATTTCATTAAATCAGCTCAATATAAGAGAGTTGATATGAAAAGTGAATTAATATTACAGCAAAATATTTGTGTCATTGTTACTGAAGAAATGGTAATTTTAGGCGAACTTATATTTGAAGCAAACAATGACTACAAGATTAAAGCGCTCTATAAAGAAATGATCACTAATTTAAATCAAGAAGTGTTAATAAATCTTCAATCAAAGTCTTTTAAATTAATCTTTTGTGACGACAATATTGAGACTCAATTTACAATTAATTTATATACTAATGATATGAATAAAAAACTGTTGACTCCAATCAAAAGTCAGTGGGAAAAGGCTTTTGATATTCCGCTTACTATTAAAAAGATTTAATTTTTAAATTTAAAGAATTAAGTGCCGATATATCTCTCAAAATATTTTGATTAATAGAATATATTTATTATATAAATTATTGTTATTTTTTAATTAAACAATTTTATAAATAGCATCTATTTTATTGGAAATATACAGTATATATGTATAGATTTATTTACAAATGCAATATGTATTTATCATTTATTAATAATAAAATAGTTATAATGTATTTTTATTATTGATAAATCATCAATGAATTTATTTTGCATGTGTTTTGAATTTTGTAATTAATTTAATTATTGAATAATAAAATCTTATGTGATAAAATAGTGTATCATTACTATGATAATTATTATATAATAATTATGTATAATAGAAAATAATGTATATTTATTTATTGAATTAATTCATAATAAATAGAGTAAATAATTTACAATTTATATTTTAATTTGTAAAATTGCAATCAGGGTTAAACAAGGTTCTTGATTAAATGAGGGGTGGGTGGCGTGGGATTGGGAGTGGGGGTATTGAGAAGTAAAAATGGCAAAAATCTGAGTATATGTAAACTTGGATATTACTTTAATCATAAATCTGAACAATTGTTAGGTATCGCTCAATGTATTGTATTTATTGTATAATTAATGGTAAAACGCTTTATTTAATATATTAACGATATTCTAATACAGTCTATTAAAACAATAATTATTAAGAAAAGGACTAAAAAATGTGTTATCATGAAAAAGAAATTATTTTATTACTGTTTTATTAATTTTATTGTTATTTTATTTAAAGTAAGATTATATAAAGTAGTATTTCATCAATGAAATAGTAATTATGAAATATTAATAATGGAAAATAACTTAATTTATTTTTTGTTACAAATAAAAATCTATTAATTTTAAGTATAAATAGTAAAACTTATTTAAATTAAACATTAAATGTTTTATATATCTTTAATAAAATCTATGGATTAAACTAAGTGCTGTCAGCAAATTAAAATTATCAATTTTATCATCAATTCAGTCAATCAATAATTGCCTTTTTACAAATATTTAATATAATATTATACAGGTATATTTTAGTATATTAATTTTATTAATAACGACTTTATTATTATAATTAACATTATATTGGAAACATTGAAATATTAGTTTTAGTGTTTTAGTGTATTCATAATATGAATTGGAGATTAAATAAATTATAACTAAAATATTTTCAACATTTATTAATATTATACTATTTATTGATATTATATTATATATATTTTTAAGTAATTCATATTTTGAATAATTTCTTAATTAATTTAAGATTTTCTTTAAAAAAATTATAATAATTAATATTTGATGTCAATATTTAAATAAACATAAATAATTTAATGTAATAAATAGTCTTTTTTCTTTTTGTTACTTCAATATAAATTTAACTAAAAAAGTATTTCAAAATCAATAATTTTTTCACATTAAGTATTGTCTTCATTGACATCAATGACAACCTGAAGACACTTAGAAGTTAGGAATGGATTTAATAAGAGTATGAATGGCTTCCATAGACACAGACATACCGTTATATACTGTACTTCAAACTAACTGTTCTTAACTCTGCTGTACTATAATTTGTTTTGCATTTTATTTTTAAATATATATTTTCTATTTATTATAAAAAGTTATATTATTATTATTATTATTATTATTATTATCTATTAAATTATCTTCAAATTGATACAAATAATGTTTTTTATAAATATGCTAAATATGTAAACTATCAAATTTGATGATATTAGCAATAATTATTAACATTAGAAATAAATGTTTTGAATCAACCGGTATATGTTTTTTGGTAAATTAATGTATTATAAATAATATAAATAATAATTGATCAATTTAAATTAGTGTATTATATTTGTTTGTATTTATATTGTATTGTTGTACATTACAATTTGTACTTGGTTAATTAATGAGCGTAATATATTGAAATGGGATGGGAAAGCACGGGAACGGGAAAAAGGGAGCGAATGTGTGTGTGTTGTCGGGAATGTAGAGCACATTGAAGTCATATTGTGTTTGATTTGTTGGCAATAATTGGCATTTATATGCAATTGTATGGAAAGCCAGTCAAACATAACATTTGATTTGATTAGTGATACAAACGACTGTTTTTTATGTAAACTAATTGTACGCCATTTGGCACTCATTTGGACAATACGTTCAATAAATTCAATAAATATATACCACAAGACATTCACTGAATTATCACCGAAGAAGACAAACACTTGACATCACAACTATTGTTTAATTATTATTTTTTATCACTTGATTAAACAATATTATTATTTGAGGCCATAAGTGGTCGACAATTATTTACTAATTTTTTATAGTGAAGGACAAGACCTTTGATATCACGATTGATATTGAATTGGTATTAATCGGTGACAGCGATGATGGCCGACAATAAGGCAAAAGACGATTTGGACAGCGAATTGGCCGCCAATCTTACGAGACTTAATGTTATGGCTCCAGTCTTTGTGCCTTCTTTTCAAATCCCACAGCAAAACAACGCCAACTCATCTAACGCCTCGCCGACGGACAACGGTATAGACTTAACGTCCACTAACGACAAGACCACCACTAAGACAAACTCTGTGTCCGTTAATAATAATAAAATTGACAACAAAGAGGAGGAAGTGGTCGACGACTGGGAGGCAAACGCAGACGATGACGAAGAAGATGTCGACAATGAAGACTATGGTATTTAACGTTTGTTTACTTATAAAAAGTCTATTATTTGTTGCTATTAGATAAAAAATATATAATTAGATGCTTTAATTAATTGCTATGAATTAGCAGTTTATATGGGAAGAGATGTATTAATTAAGTCTTTAAAAATGAATTGCAATATATAGTGACCTTTACTTTCATCAAAGCTTTTCATAATATTTTATTTTTATGTTTAAACTAATGATTTAATTTGTGTAATAATAAGCAACAAAATGTTACGTTTAAATAGCGATATAATGAATAGTTTTTGGAAGTGTTTGTATCTTTTAAACAATTGTTTTGATATTAACTAAATAATATTTTGATTAATAGATGAAGATGAAGAACCCATGGATGACGAATCGGGAGATACATCTGATAAGCCGAAAGTTCAAAAAGGAAGGAAACCTAAGAAAAAAGTCCACAAAGAGTTGGTTAGCGATGAAAGCAATAAGAAGAATCACATGAATATGGTATTCATTGGTCACGTAGACGCCGGCAAATCGACAATTGGAGGACAATTACTTTATTTGACTGGAATGGTTGATAAACGTACACTTGAAAAGTATGAACGGGAGGCCAAAGAGAAAAACAGAGAGTCGTGGTATTTGTCGTGGGCTTTGGATACCAATCAAGAGGAACGAGATAAAGGAAAGACTGTTGAAGTGGGCAGAGCTTACTTTGAAACAAAAAACAGACATTTCACTTTATTGGACGCACCCGGTATTGCCGTTTGATTTACATTTGATTTATATAATTATTTATATATAATTTTATTTATAGGTCATCGAGGATTTGTGCCGAACATGATCGGTGGTGCGTGTCAGGCCGACCTGGCTGTTCTGGTCATATCCGCCCGTAAAGGAGAATTCGAAACCGGCTTCGAGAGAGGCGGCCAAACAAGAGAACACGCTATGCTCGCCAAGACTGCCGGTTCGCTTGAAATAAATAAAATTAATTTAATTGTAATGTAATTATTAATATATATTTATATTTACGATAATTCTAGGCGTCAAACATCTTATAGTTTTGATCAATAAGATGGACGATATGACAGTAGAATGGAGTGAATCCCGTTATAATGAATGTTGTGAGAAATTGCTTCCATATCTCAAAAAGTGTGGCTTTAATCCCAAAACGGAAATTTATTTTATGCCGTGTTCTGGTCTTACGGGGGCTTTCCTTAAAGAACCTGTCAATGAATCGACGTGTTCGTGGTTTAGGTGACTATTTAAATATTATTATTGTTTTAATGTTATAGTATTCTTATTGGTATAATATTGTAATTATTAAAGAGGTCCATCGTTTTTGGATTACATTGATTCGTTACCGATGTTTACACGACAAGTGGACGGACCCTTTAGGATGCCTGTAGTTGATAAATATAAAGAAATGGGAACAGTTGTATTTGGAAAAGTAGAAAGTGGTTGTACTCGAAGAGGCGCTCAATTATTACTAATGCCTAATAGAAAACAAGTAGAAGTTTTGCAGCTTTGGAACGATGAAGTAGAAGTATCACAAGTTAGTTCCGGAGAGAACGTGAAAATCAAATTAAAAGGCGTTGAAGAGGAAGATGTGACCGCAGGCTTTGTCTTATGTGATGCTTCAGCGCCCTGTAATGTCGGCCGAATATTTGACGCACAGGTGGCTATACTGGAACACAAATCTATTATATGTCCCGGTTATTCGGCTGTCCTCCATATCCACTGTGCAATTGAAGAAATAACTGTTAAAAATATTGTTGATTTATTCGACAAAAAAACAGGAAAACGAATGAAGGTTTGTATGAAATAAATGAGAAAATGTTTTACTGGTATTATAATGTAAATGTTATTTAATGAATATTTAGATACACCCGAGGTTTGTCAAACAAGATCAGGTGGCACTCATGCGTTTGGAGTGCTTAGGAGGAAGTGTCTGTATGGAACCATTCTCACAATTTCCACAAATGGGAAGATTTACGCTCAGAGACGAAGGAAAGACTATTGCCATCGGAAAAGTGATACGAGTTGTTGAATGACTAGGAAAGAGGCCATTGTGTGACTTATCTGTTCAGAACTCCGCTCACCTGAGCATCAAAAAGGATAGAAAGTGTTAAACCAATTAAACAATAAAAAGAACTGAAAAAATGTTTTTTAAAAAAGTCGTCTTTTATTGAGAAAGAAATGGATTTCAATTGTATTTCCATTTGTCAGACAAATCTACAAAAAAAGCTTATATGCAAAGTCACAATCACAACGATTGTACACATAATGAGCGCTTTTTACATACAAATTGTAATAATTGTAATAAAAGCTTTCTTTTATTGATTTAATATAAACTCTATAAAAAACATTTTGTCATCAATTTGTCAATCGAGCTCTACGTCCTCTGCTCTCTGTTGACTCCGGGAGTCAATAGTACGGTTGGCGTTACCCGAGTCGGCATTTGATGAGTGCTCTTCATCGCTGTCCTCTAATAATGATTGTATAAAATTGCCGAAAAATCCTTGCGGACCACCTCTCGAAGCTTTTTCAATGCCAAAGTAAATATGACCGATTTGGCTCAGGTAGTCGTTAAATGATGGGTCGCGCTTTAATGTTGTTCCGTATGATTCAGTCAACAATTTAAAAGTTTCCGATTTTCCACTAATGGCCATAAAATATACAATCATATAATTTATAGTAAATTTTATGCAATATTTAGATATTATCATTAAAATACTGTAATACCTATCGATTGCCATTAAAAGAAATGATAAAAAGTTTAATAATGGCAATAAAAACGGTGGATTAGAGTTGTTAATGGATGGATGTTTTGAAGTATACTCGCGAAACGTTTGGTCGGCCATCGGTTTGTTTCGTAAACAAAGAACTTGTAGAACAAACTGTGCAATAAAGAGATCCACTTCTGAAGGATAGCCTAAAGTAGTTTGAAATTCAATGAGCATTTCAGAGCATTCAATGCCGGAATCGGATGAGTGGACAAAATGCTGACGCGATTCCACAAAGTTCTTCTCGCGCCACAAGACTGTTGCAAATTGTCGACGAATAGCAGTCATCGGTATAAAAGTCACTTTACTAGTCGTCCCAATAAAAGTCACTCTTTCGGGAGTTTTCGGTGGAATTAATTCAAAAAGTCGTCGAATATTGTCTAAGAGCTGGTCCTGTCCTACAATCTCTTCGTCATTGACTGTCTTGTTATTGCTTTCAATTAATAATTGTATGTAAAGTGTGGCCAAATCGGCGCCAGAATTGTGTTGACCCGATGTCATCAAAAGGATAGATCCATCAAACAAGAGTTGACACAATTGTAAGTGTTTTTTCTCCCGTAAGAGACGATAATATAATGTCCTATAGATCTGATGCGACTCATAATAGTCACCACTTTCTAGACATTTGTTCAGTTTGTTTAACAACCGCTGCGAAGACATCTGACAACAGAAACAAATCTTAACAATCAATGGACTAAATGTCGACTAATATATTGATTTCAATCACTTGTTTTGAGTTGTTTTGTCGATAATTTTCTCAATTAATGTAACAATCATTTAATAATTAATCAAAAAATAGTGACAAACAATGTATTCATGCGATAAATCAATCAATCAATTGATTCAATCATTCAATTAATAGTTTAATTAATTAACTAATTATTTATGAAACACATCAACACTTAAAACACATAAACATTTCATTCATGAAATACATATACAATGTCTCCAAATGTTGGCTTTTCCTCACAAAACATATATTACAGACTCTATGAATGATTCTAATATTGTTTACATTTTATTAATATTAATAATAATAATATTTTTTCTAAAATATATAATTTGTTAGACTATTAGTAATACATTAGTATTAATATTACTTTAAGTGTTGTCTTAAATTGTGATCACATTTGTAGCAAAAGTGACGACAAATATTGTAATTGTATTTTAAGTAACGCTTAAAGCAATCGATGACCAAAACAATGGCTTCTTTTCGTCACATTTTGACCAGATTTTCACGAATATCGCCGATTGCCGGTCATCGAAGTGACCGAGTTTTGTGTCGGTCATACGTCAAGAGTCTATATGAGGACGCGTTTACAATAGACAGCGCTTGGACTCCCGTGACGGCCGATGTTTCCAAATCAATAAATGGTCTGAAATGCCGATCAATTATCTGAAATGTTTTATTAACGATAGTATTGCTGACCAATGATAGGATCCATCTTCACGAACCAAAATGTCGAGTTCGGGTCCAAACGTTTCTATAGGGGACGAGTCAAAGGAGTGATCTTTGATTGGGGCGGAACTGTTGTCGACTGCGGTGTTTGTGCGCCAATACTGACGTTTGTCGAGCTCTTCAAGAATGAAGGCGTTGACATCAATGAAGACGAGGCCCGAACTATTAGTGGTTCCAATCGGAAAGCAAATATTGCACAGATTTTAGACAGAGAAGCCGTACGGCAACGATGGGTGACCGCCACTGGCAGAGAACCGACCAGTGATGACGTACAGCGGATGTACGATAATTTTATACCTCAAGTATTGTCGAGTCTCACGAAATACAGTAATGTTATCGAAGGAGTGGCTGAAGTAGTTAAACAATTAAAGAAACAACCATTTAATCTGAGAATTGGATCCACGACTGGTTATCCTAAAGAAGTACTTAAAGTGTTATTAAACGCCTCCAGTTCTCAGGGTATCAATACTTATATCATATAATTGTTATGAGATTTACAGTAAAACAGTAGTTATTATGTTTTTAGGTTTTACTCCCGACGCTTCAGTCTGTTTGGGTGAAGTACCTGAAGCTAATCCTTCGCCATTTATGCTCTGGTTATGTGCTATAAGACTCGGTCTTCAACCTATTGAATGTATAATTAAAATTATTTTACCGATAATATAAAAAATATATATAAACTGTATATACTGTATATTGCTTGTAGCCATTGTCAAAGTCGATGATTCGGTCAATGGTGTGGCAGAAGGTCTTCTAGCTGGCACATGGACAGTGGCCATTGCTAAAACATCGGTAAATAACATACTTATTTTGAAATGTAAAAAATATAACATTGCATTTTCGGTAGTCTTATGTTGGTTTAAATGAACACCAATTGGATGAGCTTAGAGCACCGGAATTGCGGGCACGACTACAACGAGCTTATGATGCTCTTAGCGGTAGTGGTGCTCATTATATCATAGACACTATTAGCGATTTACCGGCGGTTATTGATGATATTAACCGAAGACTAACCAATGGAGAAAAACCATAAATTTATTATTTTTTTCATTATTGAAATTGAATTATTATTATAGTATTGTTTGAATCTCTCGGAATAATAATGATCGCTATTATTGTATGCCTTAATATGTAAACAAAAGTACCGGTAATAGTATTGTTGAAATATATTTCCTTCGCTAATGTTTTAGTCATTTTCAAGATTTCTCATATTTTCGAGTATATTATGATAACAAAAAGCATTTCCTTAATATCGACATAAAAATCACAAACTATTGTACTCACAAATTGTACACCAAATTAAAAAAAAAAATGATTACCACTAATGACATAATTGTCAATATTAATAAACTGGACAATTTGATAAATGGTCATTTTGGTTCAATACCGCTAATCTATACAAACTGTTGACCACATTAATGGTTGTCATTTTTTTTGTGGATCGCTATCAAGGAAATCTCTTTACATAAAGTTTAAAACAATGGACAATCATTAGATATAGGAGTCATAAAATAGATGAAACTTTACATTTGGAGCTAATTTTAATATAGAGTATATTTATTGCAATTATTGCCAAAAAAGACAATCTAATCATTGCACAAATTTGCGAATCTTATATTGTATTATCTTTAGTATTAAAATAATTTATCTTTAATGTTAACTAATTAATATTGCTATTTATTACTGTAGCTGATTATTGTAGTATTACTAATATTTATGAATTGTTAAATATATTTATAATTAAAAAAATAAAATAAAAATTGAATATTTCGATAGTTATTTTTACGTTACTGTAAATGATTTATGAAATTAATACTCTATTAGTTTATAATATAATATAGTAAAATAACTTTATTTCTAAATTCATCATTATTATTATTATGAAATTCTTATATAATTATTAAAAAATCATATAAATTCATATATATACTGAAAAATTAAATTTTCAAAATAATTGAAAACTAATGGAACACATCGTTAGATTTTTTTAGTCAAAATTAAATAAATCTTTTTATATAATTTAAAAATAAAATCGAAAATACTTCAAAAATATACTTTTAAATAATTTGTTGTATTCATTGGGTCAGTGATTTTGTTTCTTTAAAAATATAGTCTAAATAATTACTTTAAATTATATCATATTTTTGTAATTATTAATATATTATTCTTAAAAAATACGGTAATTCGACAAATAATTTGACGATTTGTTTTTGGAGACAATTTAAGCGTTCGGATAACCAAACTCTTTGGCGTCGTCTTCAGTTATGTCTCCGTATTGCCAAATGTTTAGCTATAAAATCAAATAAAATATGAGAAAAAACCGATAAAATAAATTGCAATGAAATACCCGTTTCTTTTTAGCGCTTTCTTGCGCTCCTTTGTATTCGTTGAGCGTCTTCTGTAGTCTTCGTTCTCTTCTAGACTTAATGTCAACGAAAAAGAGTCCGTCAGATACTAACTGTAATACAATATCCTTTTTGGACTCTTCATCCAAAAGAGTGACAGCTTCGAGACCCGACGCGTCTTTGTATTCACTTTTCAATAATAAGACTCTATCGGCTGTCTCATCGCTGAATGCATTTCTCACTTCATTGACAAAATCTGGATCTGTGTCGAGGCGCACAAATGCCAGTGCGTACTCTTTAGCGGCCGGTCCCAGACTCGTGAACTTGGAAGACGGCATCGCAGCTATACTTCTGGAACTTATAGTTTCCCGATTACCGTAATCGGTGTAAATAACTTGGATCTCATTGTTGGAAACTATCTTCTCAATCTTAGCTCTGTACCATTGTTGGTCAACTGAGAACTTGGCCACAACGAGATCGCCTTTAGTTGGCTTATAAGCTCCGGGAAGTGGAGGATTAGAAGTTAGCTCTTCTCTAAGCTCTGTCAACAGTTCTTCAAGTTTGGGACCGTCTTCAACATATTGAGCGTGAAATGACGATAAACCACTCGATATGTTAGTGACAACAACTTTTTTCCTTTTATCCAAATCTGAAGTGTCTTTCTCAACAACTTCTTCATTAATGGCTTCTTCTAAAGCCTCTGTGTGTTCCTCTTCTTTATAATCCTTCCAAATACCAATTTTCTGTTTCTTGGCTTCAGCTTCGGCTGCACTCAACTCATTAGTCCAACTGCTTTCTCTAACTGAGGCGTAACCGTTGCGGATCAGGTCAACGGCAAGATTGTGCTGAGAGTTGTTGTGTTCGTAATAAACCCAACCAATAAAATTGCCGACTTTGTCAATGGCTTCAACACTAATTTGAACGTCTCTTTGATGGATTCGTTGTTTAACAAATCTAAGCGCTTCAATACCGATTGGATCAGTACTTTTGGGAGAACTGACGCCAACAAGAATTAAATTCAATAAACAATTATCTTTTGGAACATAAAGTTTAAGTTTGGAAGAAGAAGGAAACACAAACTCAACGACAGCTGACTTTTTGTCATTTTGATTGCGGAGTAAAAATGTCGAATAATTCTTGGCTTTTGACTGATCAGTACTCAGATCAACAATGCGAACAATACCGGCGTCTTTGTTGTTAGAATAGAGGCCTTTATTACTCTTTTGTGCCTTTGATTCTGCGGCCAAAAACGAATCGTAAGCACTGGCTCTCTGATCGTCATCCTGTCTGTACCGGACAACTGTTGCCAACCCTTTACTGATCAGTGCTTCACCGATATTAATATTATTGTCCACAACAACAGTACAGCAAATTTTTTCTTGAAAATTGTCTGTTTTCGGTTGAATATAGTCAACCTTTACGCTAATTTTTTTCCCAATCAATCGCTTCCTCAGAAATTCTCGGGCATCAAACATGTGTGGAATATCATAAAGTGGTCGGAATTGTTTCCTATCTTTGTTATCGTCATCAGTTTTGGTGCCTTCGGGTCTCGGCGGACGAATCGATGCAATAAATATTTTCTTGTCCTCATTTGTAGTCAAATTTTGGACAACAAGTGCGTCTCCGCTAACAATTTCAAGCACTCGTGCTTCGAAGCTATCATTGGAACCATTAGTTTTTGGAGCGTCTTTGTAATCCTTCCAAATTCGCGACTTCTTAGACTTGGCCTCTCTTTCAAAATTTCTCAATTTTTTCGGATCTTCAGTCAAACCAATAGTCCAGTCAATGCATTTCGCAAAGCCTTCTTTAATGAGATATTCTGCTATATTTTTATCGCCGATAGTAACGGAACCAACAAAAGCAGAGCTGTTTCCGCCACCAGATGTCTGTTCAATACGAACGTTGACATCCTTTTGAAGAAGTCTGGATTCGGTAAAATAACGGGCCTCTTCTCCAAACGGCTCAGACGCTTGTGGACATCGGATTCCACTTAACATCAAAGTTATATTTTGGTACTTCTTGTTTGATTCTAACTGAAGAGCAACCCTCAAAGTACTTCCATCGCGAACGTGTTCCACAATACCAATCAAAGACTTGTTAACCAATTTCTGTGGCTCTTCTACTTCATATAAAACCTCGCGTTTACCCGAAGCAAGTTTACCCCACTTTCCTTTTTCACCATTTTTGGCCGATTCTTCCAATTCAACTAATTTGATAACATCTTCGTTATCCTTATTCTTTTCCCTTCTGTTTACTTCAACAGTTCCTTCGTTAACAACTGTTTGGTTGATATTTTCATCGCCACACATAAGTATACCAAACTCTCTTTGAGCGTTACCTATAAATCATTAAACAATATGTTATCACTATTTTATCAATAAATCAAATAACAAAACTACAAGACATACCCATTTGTATCTTATACTCTGACTTAAACAGAACCTCTTTACCGACTAACTTCTTGCGCAAGTATTCACGCGATTCCCAGCCATACGGCTCTTCAATACTTGTAGTGCCGTCGGGTAGTTTGCGACCCACTTTTGGTGCCATTACGTAAGCTATTAAAAACAAATATATAGATATAGGTAAAGAGTAAATCAGTTGACCATCTCATCAATACCTAAGTTGATTTGCTTTTCGGGTGGCGGACCTCCTTTGGGCTGACCTCTAATTATGAGTGAATCACCCGAAACAACCTAAAACAAGAAATACAGTCATTAATGATCATTCATTGTATTGTTAATTGGTTTCAAATCAATACCATCTTAACGATAGCTCTTTGTGGTGACGATTGTGTCACTGGATTTGCCATTATTTGCCAATAATTTTACAACAATTTGGATAATATGTCTATAAATACTATAATTTTTTTTAAACAAATATTTTTGTAAATAAATTTCTTTTTAAAATTACAAATAAAATTCAAATAAAATTGTAGATAAACTTTGCGGATAAAAGTCAGTGCTTTTTAATTGAAAATATAAAACAAAATTAAATTGAAATATAAAATACAAATAAATTATTGTCTAATTTGTGTCCAATTAGTGTCCAATAAGTGGCAGAAAATGTGATTTCAATAAATGGTTTTTGCGGTCAATTGTTGTGTAGGAAACAAATCATTGCTTTAAATGACTCTAACGTTTGACACAAAATAACTATTGATATGAAAAATTAGAAACACATTTATTGACAAAATATATTCATTTACTATTGACTATTGTCAACAAATTTCAAGCAATAACTGTACGAAACATGCAGTGTTTTTACATTATAATACTAATAAAATATAGTGATGTGGCAAATGTGGTCCAAACATATTGTACGGTCTAATAGTTTGAATACCCATTTCATACTATACATCAGTATTTTTATTCAAATAATAGTCATTTTTATTAATATAATTATAAATATTTTTAATTATAATATATTAATTAAATATATACTAAAAATAATAATATAACTTAATGTCATATAACTTAAAAATAGATATTTCACTGTTTGACTACTTTATCCCCCAAACCGTTATTATGTAAAATCAAATGCTTTTAATATAATATATAATATCTAATGTTTGCGTTCATTGCTCTCATAGTGTGGTCTTTGAAAGTAAACGAGTTGTCAAACAAATCAAACTTTATATTCATTGCATTGATTTCGGTCTCATTTTTTACTTAATTTCCAATTAATATACTTATAAAACATATGTAAAACCAAATGGGTTTCGAATTTTCGGATATATTGTTTGAAAATTATTTTGTAATAGAATAAGAATTTTAATTTTTTGAGAATATTCTAACATTTTTACAGAATATTCTAACATTTTTACAGAATATTCTTGACTTTAAAAAAACTGTTTATACTTATCTGAAAAGTTTTGTTAATTTATGAAAATTAATGATATTATAAATAAAGATATTATACTAAATGATGTTTTAAAAATAACTAAAAAATTGAAAACTATAAAGAATTTATTTGTTTGTTATTTAATATTACCTGTATATTATAAATATTATAAAACATTTAATTAAAATTTACTGAGAATTATTTTACGCAAAAACTATTTTTTAAATAATATATAATTTTTTTTAATTTACTTATAATTTTTAGCCGTGAAACACATGCATATGAAGAAATGAAATGTTTAATATGATTAAAATATATTGAATTAATTTTATCAATAATTAATTTATGTATAATATTTCTAAATTAAAAATTCAATAAATGTTTTATTTTAATCCAAATAGAAAATTATAATATAAATAAAAATTGGAAATAAACTATTCTAATAATTTTTATATATTAAATATTGTAACTTAACTAATAAATTGTTGTTCATATTTACTAATTGCAAACTAATTGAACAAACAATGCATCACATTATTACTTATTATAAATGATATCAATTGGCAATTTCTTCCAACTGTTATATGAACTATATATGTGAAAAATATAATTTTTTTAAATCTAAAAAAATTATCGTCTCATTGAATACCATTGCTATAATACCAAAGTTTGAATTTGCATCTTTTGTGTGCAAAATGATAAATTAATTGTGCATTTTCTAAATATATCAAATTATAACTTAAAGTATAGAAAACTATAATAACAGTAAAATTATAAATTATACATTTAATAATTCAAATAATAAGATTAAATAAAATTAATTATATATAAAAAGTTTATTGATAAAATGTTAAAATTTCATATATTATATAGTATTACAATCTTCACAAATTAGGTTTTATTTTGACAGACATTTAATAATATAAAAATAGTAATATTATAAATAGTCAATTATGGAATTGTATAAATATAATTATCATTATAAATGTGAAGCCCATATAACTATAAATAATTTTTTGTTGTATTTTATTTATAGTTTATAAATATACATAGAAATTACAGTAAATGTATTAATATAAAAATGTTTATTACAGTAAATAAAACACACACTACTAATAGAATCCAATCTAACATTCCATACTATGTTTAACACTGTATAATAAATTAACAATTTATATATAAAATTTAACGCAACAAATAATTTAGTAAAATTACTTTTAATCTTTTGTAAAAATATAAATAGTATCCTAAAATATTAATTGCTACACCTGTTACTAATTATATTTCTATAAGTAATTTAGTATAAATTATAAACCAATTGTTTATTTTATTAACTTTATCATCATAAAGATGACCTATCAATGTGAATAAATATCAAAATATTTATATTTGATATGCAATAATAAAAATACTGAAACAAAATAGTATTATTCATAAGTGAAGACATAGAAAAAATTTCATATTTGGCTTTAAGCCAAATGTGATTTTTTCAATATATACCAAATTAAGTGAGAGAAAGAAACAATAATTGTATAGTTTAATAGTTGGCTAAAAAATATTGTTTATTACTTTATTGTTATTAAAAAAATATTTATTAAAAAACTAAATTAAATATAAAGTATTTACCGCACTTAATATACTATACTATATATTACTAAAAAATTGTTTTAGCCAATGAGTTAAATAATTTAAAATTGTATAATATACAAAATTTTGAAAAATTTGTTGAAAAAATGATCAAAAATATAATATATTATACATTTCACAGATTAAAACGCTGATTAAACAATATTACATAAAATATGTTAAGAAAAAATAACGAAATAAGAGAGCAATTGAATAAGATTTTGTAAGATTTGTAGATAAATGAAAAAAGGATTGACATTAGATGGCAATGATATGTGTGTATAAAAAGTATGGCATTATATGCAATGGTAAACAACTTTAGTTAAAAAAAAGTAAGACTCTGTCAGATGTTTAGCAATACAAGTGGTGGCAAAAGTGAGGGTCGCATATGTTGTGCGCGGATCCAAATCCTCTCAATGTTTGTAATAATTATGAAAATCTATTTTTAATACATTTTTAAACTAAATTCCGATTTACTAAAAAAATATATATATATTCTTTATTTTGCTTTTAAAAATTTTGAGAGTCATTTGTAGTACTGTTTTGTAATCAAAGTAAACCAAAACATATATAATATTGTATATAAAGAAAACAAAACTTATTTGAAATTAATTTTTGTTAACAACTAATAAATATTGAAAATAATTTAGAATTTGTTTAAATCTATTTCTTATAATAAGTTAAATACTTGTTATTTATTAGTGAAATATGAGAAGTGGTTTCAAAATACAATTTTATCAGTAATTTAAGTCTTGATTTTGTGATATTTATTTTAATTATATATTGATCTCACAATTCTGTTCACTAATCAACTGATACTTTGATACAATAAAACAGATTTTTTAAATCTCAAATAAAATGAGCAAAAAAGCAACGGTTTGTCGAAAATATCATAAAATATTTATATATAAATATATATACTGTATATATAATGAGCAATCAATTAATGATTTGTTTGGTTAACGAAAACACTTACCATTAGAGTTCAAAATCAAGCAATAAATCAACAAAATTGAAACCAATCGATGAAACGCAACTGAAAACTGCTTTTCAAATGTTTGATATGAATCGCGACGGAAAAGTCAATGAAGAAGAGATGAAGTCTATGCTAAACAAACTTGGGATTCAAATCAATGATAATTTGGTTAAACAAATGATTGCCAGCGCATCAAAAAATGGTAAAACTTTTTCATTCATATATTAAATACAATTATAATTTAAATAATCTTATACTGTATTAATCATTTAATTTGTTATATTGATCTGCTTATGTCAAGTTTTATATAACATTTCAAATAACAATTTAACAAAATAAATAAATAAAATGCAAATAATTGCTGTCAATATTATGTTTATATTACATAACAATTTTACATTAGAAAAGTTTGCTTTACTGTAAATTTCAAAAAATTATCTGCGATTTATAAAAATTTACATTTTATTAATATTTAAATACTTACTTTGATAACACTTTTTGTCAGCACATTTGAACAGTTAGTCGAGTGATGTTATCTAAGATTTTTAGTGCATTTCAAACATTAGGTGACGGATTGATCACAGAATCAGAATTTCTGATTTGGTTATCAAAGATAAAGACACATAAAGACAATGACGTCGAAGAGGACCTGAAAGCAGCCTTTTCTGTGTTTGATTCCGACAAAAATGGTCAATATTTTTGCAATAATATTCAATAATATGTGTGCAGTCAATGACTTTTATAATTTTAATAAAATATCCATTTGTTTATCAGGTTTTATAACAAGAGATGAACTCAAGTCTGCGATGCAATTAATAGGTGAAACCATTACTGACAGAGATTTGGACCAATTATTGAATGCAACTGATATCGACAAAGACGGTAAAATCAATTATGAAGAGTTTATCAAATGTTTGTTATAAATTGATATCAATTCATTCATATTCATTGTAAATTATTTTACATCATTTTCATATTATCTTATTATTGATTTAATTATTACTATTAAATGATTAGTTTATTATCTAATTACTAAATCAATGAAATGCTAAATAAAAATTAATTTAATAATTTAGTTTTATTAACTGATTTATAATTGTAAAATAATTTTAGTAAGTATAAGCATCATAATTTATTAATACCATAAATTAATTTATTGTTACTGTAATTGATTTATTAGAATTAATTATAATATATTTTATAATGCATGCATATATCTTAAGAATATTCTTATTTTATAATAATTATTATATCTTAATAATATAAATAATATGAAATAATATATTTCATAAGTAATTAAAACCTTTAATAAGACATTGTTAAAAAATATATTAATATTAAAAAATTAGTTAAAAATAAAAATTATGAAAATATAATACGTAACTATAAATTTTTATATTATAAGATATGTCAAATTTTTATTAATTGTTATTATTTTTCAATCATTGTTAAAAAATTTCAAACTATAGTTTGTTTAATATTTTAAATGACAAACAAATAAATTATTCAGAAATATATTACATATTAATACACTTTATTTAATAATTTCATAAATCTTGATAAATCTTGTTTTTATAGTCCAGCAATAAAATATATCGATAATTTATAACGACGATAAATGTCAAACAGTTAATTTTTTAAATAACATTTGTTTAATTTATAAATTTTAGATTTATGACAATTATAATTTGAAAATTAAAAAGTAGCATAATGATTATAATTTACAATTATAACAATTATCATTCTTTATAGATAATTTTTAATAGTAAACAATCAAAAAATATTTATTAAAAAAACAGTTTTAATAATCTATGAAACTCTGTATACGTTAACAATTTTAATAGAATAATAAAAGTTATTGATATTTATATTATATCATAATTTATTTTTAAGTGATTGAAGATTATAAATATTTTAGATATATATTAGAAGAATTTCCAATTGGATGCCATGGATTAAGTCAAAAAATGTTTTCTTAACTAAATTGTATTAATTGATAAAATATATAAAAAGTTTACAAAATCAATAAAATGATAATTGATTATAAATGTTGACAAATATATCATACAAGACATTGGTGTTGACCATAACAACACTCAATCCATTGCATCCAATCGGACGGATCAATGATACCAATGATTACTTTTGTCAATTTAAGGCGTGATTTTGTTGATGAGATATCATGTTTTACGACATTAATTATAAGGAAGACTTATAATAAGACATTGAATACAATTAATGGGTCTCTAAATGTTAAAACAGTTAATAACAGGGTTTATAGTTTGAACAAATCTGTCGATCAAATTGAGGCCCACAAGAGATGCCTCCATTAGTGGCGTTCATCAAAATACTTCTCTGACGAAACCTGAAGCCCTGTCCATCACATGTCTGAAACACATATAATACATGCATTAGTTATCAACACAAAGACAAGTGTCTGGACATTGGCTAACCTTTGAACAGGTAGACCACTCACCCCACGAACCCATAATACAATCGACAGGTGTGTTGTCTGGATATTACATAATTGTGTTTATAATTACATATATTACAAAATTAATAGATAAATATTTATTAATAATTTTAGGATTAGTAGTGCTGGTGATGATGTTTATGCTTTTTGCTAGTACTGTGTTTAGCCGATAATTTGTTAGTATTTGTGTAAATGTTGGGCTTATGATAATCGTCTATAAAAGTATTAAATCAAATATTAAAAGCATTAGTATTGCTATTGAAAGCACTGCTTTGAATATAATAATTATCCAAATGCTGACCACATTCAGGATTTTCTTTACATTTCCTTCGCTGAACCAATCGTTTAGGACACGGTTTGCCACCGTTTTGTGCATTCAATTTGATCTCTCGACGCCTCTCTTTACGAGCACTTCCACACGTCCGCGAACACGATGTCCACTCAGACCACGGCGTCAACTGTTTGTCCACAAAATTATCATAAATATATTATAACATTAAATATATTAAATGACTGATACATACGACACAATCAATAATAGGTCCCTGGTCATTTATTGGTGATAATGATTGACCAGTATTGACGCTACCAGAGGTTAATGAAGTCAAGGCACCGATTGGGGCTATCAATGAATCAATAGTTAAGCAACTAATACTAAACTTTAATTTCAAATCAATTATAATGAATCCAAAATTAAATAAAACAAAAAGCAGCAAATATTTTGAAATATAAAACTAATTTATATTTGAAAGTTTATTTTTGTACATTTTGTATATTTTAGTCATAAACTTAACAAAATGTAAGCCTTGATTATTATTTATAAAAAGAATTAACTTCTGAAAAATGTATAAATTTTATGAATAAAATATATTTAATTTTTTGGCAAATGCTTCGCAAAGTTTTGCCAATAATTGTCTACACAAGGCTTTTAGTTAAACAAATATATAACAAATATTAGTGCATTCATAAAGTTTACTGTAATTATAAAATGTATATTTATAAATATAAATTTATATAATATTATATAAATATACAATACTAATAAATTTTGTTATAACTAAAATATAGAGACACATGTCAGCAATTACTAAGTCAAACAAACAATTAAAAATTATTTTATTAATATTTTAAATATAAAATCATATGATAAATAAGCGAATTTATTTAAGCAATAAAAGTGTACAAAAAATGAGATTTTAATGGTTTATTGATATTATTAGAGAGAGAGAGAGAGTTAGAGAGTCAGTACCGCATACGAGGCCTTTCTCGAGATGAACGGTCGCGTCTTTCATAGCATTTGCATAAGCAATGGTTGACGGGGGTAGAGATGCCTGAACGAAGTCTGCACAGTGGGTCAACCCATTCAATAATCATATTGATTGTCATAATAACAGCAAAAATCAATTAATCAATAAATGCAAGCAGTTTTTGGTTAAGCACTAGCTTTTTATTAGACATAGTTTTGTTAAAATTGATAGTAAATGTCACACAAATAATAGCCAAATGTCTACTCTGTAATCGTTAGTTTACAAGCAATCAATCAAAATAAGACTTACTCTTAAGCATGTCTTCACACATACGCTTACAATCGGCATATCTTTCAAAGTTGTTTTTGTTGCCCCGACAGCCACCGTATATGAACTGATAGCACATGCCTTTACTCACATCGTAATAATATCGTGGAAAATAGCCCCTACAGGGACCCACCTCTTTGTTTTGCATACATGTCTCTGTATTGACCAAAAATAAATGTTTAAATGTTGACTAATTTGATAATTGGATTAATATAAAAGTTATACCTTTAGCTTCACTTAAGTCGACTTTACAATCAATCTTATCCGCAACACAGGGAGCCTTTTGGATCAGTTCAATGTTACACATGTTTGAAGATTGTCGAGGACTCATATAAAGTCTTGTCCTGATTTTGACTCCCTTACCGCACGTTACCGTACAGGGTGTCCACTCTGACCATTGAGTGACACTGCACTTTGGATCGATCTCTTCCGGCTCTTGACATTGTATTTGTGATCCCATACAGACATCCTTCTCATCCAACTCTACCTGATTGCACAGTTTACGTGCCATACGATTCATAAACTTTCGACTTCTGGTACGGAACCCCTTTCCACAAACAGCACTACATTCTCCCCATTCAGTCCATGAGGTTGTGTCACAACTGACATCATTGACACACTTGACTTCACAACTTTCCTTTTCCACCAGTTTTGTCAAACAACTCATCTGTCGGGCCAACTGTTCGTGTTTATAGTTACGGGTTCTCATTCGTATGCCGTGACCGCACGTTGCACTACACGGCGTAAATTCTGTCCACTCTGTTACCTGACAGTCGCCTTAAAACCATAAAAATAATTGAAATTGTTGTACAAATAGATAATTATAATTATATTTAATTTAAATTATAATTATTTAATAATTTGATACTCAATTCTATTGAATTAAAGTAATTAATATACTTTAAATGCTTTCCTACCTGTAGATGGTGTTCCTTAATTGATAGCATATAAGTTTGATAGTTAGTAAATTAATTTTATTTTTAACTATTACTAAACAGATATATAATTTTCACATTACTGTCAAATAAAACTACTTACGTCTGGAATCGTCCTCATCCTTGTCCTCGCAATCATAGCCAACACAAATTGGCGACAATTTATTATTGTTATTATCGTCACCACAAGCTTTCTCGTAAATTCTTTGTCTGGAAACAGTTAGTTTAGCTATTGGTTTCATTTTAGCACCGGTATGATCATAAAATGGTGACTCAGGGTTATTGGGATTCGTTGATGTTATCCGTCTGATTCTTTCCTGTGGTACCGTTGGATGATTGGGTGCTAAATAAGTAATACCAGAGTCAGTGCCGGCATCCCATAGATAGAGATTCATGACTTTCTCGGTAACCCACGAACAGTTCTTCAGACATAATTCCAGTGCACTCACACCTACTATCCAGTCAGGACTCGGCCCTAACATTGATAACAATGACATCAAATGGTGTTTAGAGTCCACACGAAATACTGCAAATGTTTTGCCGTTTAAGTTTGGGTGCCATAAACCCCGAGCTTTGATTATAGTTCTATCAAATCAATCAATTATTTAATTTATTTATTTAATAATTTATACAATATTTAATAAATATAATTATTTATATTAATGATTATGTCTTTTTAACTATTTATTTTAACAATAAATAATTATAGATAAGTTATAGATAAATTCAAAAAATATAAATTTACTTTCTAGTAATAAAGTTTCTAGAAATTTTCTTGGATTTTTAGATAAATTTCTATTTGTTTAACACTATACGGCAGTAATTTATAAAACAAATTTAAAACATTTTAAACATTTACTGAAGATTTTGTTTATAGGCATTTTAATGGCCCTCAAAATTATTGATTTAGTTTATAGTCATTCAGTTATTTTTGTATTTTTCTGTCATCACTTCAAAAATATTGATTAACCCTTAAAACTATAAACTTTTTGAGTCCTAATTTTTTTTGCTCAGTAAACTATATTTGGCAATGAATAAAAAATTATTAATAATTAAATTGTTTTTTTATTAAATTTATATTATTATGCTATTTGATAATAAAGATTATAAAAATGTGATAAACGCTATAAAATTTGTGTGACTTATTTATATAAAAATTATATTTATATAGAAAGTTATATAAATATATATTAATTTTGATTGTGCTTTCATTTTATTTTTACTAAACGGGAAATTTAGTTCACATCTCACTTAAATTTAATTTCCTAATTTAGATATACTGTRCATAACAAAATGTATTTAATTATATAAATTTAAAATACATTAATAATGTTTATAAACTTACCAATTATGTAAATAAAAATACTACAGTAAATAAATTATTACATATATTTTGCATATACTGTAAATTTTATATATACTTTATATAAACTAAGCTTACAATAACGTTTTAATAACCGAATAAATTTTAATTAATTAATTTTATCTACTGTATAGCATCTAATATAAAACATAAATGAAATGTTAAGCAAAAAATTATTTCCTAAAATGCAAACTATTTTATAAATGAAGAGTAGAGCCCATTGTTACGCAATGGATGAGACAATGAGATGATCTTTTAATTATGTGATAGTTATATATAAATATATTAAATTATTTAGTAATGAGTTACTAAAAGTAAAGTCTCAGAAATTAATAAATTCAACAAATGTTTGCTCAAAGAGTACTTAGAAAATGCTTTGAAACTACAAAAATTCAATTAACAATTTTAATTAGATTTTTCATAAGAATAATTTCACAATAGTTTAGTTCAGGTTAACCTTAAATACGTTTAAAAATTTATAACTAATATTTGGTTTCAAAATTAATTTATATGTCATTTGTAAATATATTTATCATATTAAAATTATAAACTAATAATTAATTTGATTTAAAAAATAAATATTGTTAAGTGTGTGAATAAACTTTTATGGTATAAACTTATACAGTAATATAGTGTATATTATTTGATGACTTAACACAAATCTGTAATACAAGTGCTGGTCTTCCAGTCATTAAAGCTTTTGATCAGATTTTCTCATCCATTAATCCATTAGTAATGTGAATGCACTCATAAAACTATAGCCAGGAATCGATACAATTAAGTCCAACAAATAGTATATAACATACAGAATATAACAACTTGTATAACATTGACCCCAATGTCTACTCCCAAAACACCCATTTAATACATCCCTACAAAATATCACATATAAAACCAGCAGTTTATAYGCTATTTACACTTATGTTGAACACATTTATATGTCACTTATATGATTTAATGCACTTATTAACTCAATTAATTTTATTGATAAAAACTATATTAAAAATGTTGTATATAATAATAATAATAATAAAATTATATATAAAAAAGTATATTTAAAAACCTGATTTTATTAGATTCCGCTTTCAATTCAGACTCCAGTTTCTTTGTAACTCCGAGTTCAGCCACTTGTCTGACCCCTTCGGAAGCATAGCCTCCATATTCCCACATTCGGAAATCGGCCGAATGACTCGCACCGATAATATCGGAAAAGTGAGTCAACCAGAAGTTGGCCGGAAAGTCCTTCGGGTGCGTGTATTTAGACCACAAACCCTCAAATGTCACTTCATATTTGGCTTCATCACAGGCACAACACTCCTCTATTATATCCGGCTGTTCGTCATTACTCTCACTTTCTTCTTCACAAATAACTTTAGTGAGTCCACTGTCATCCATATACCACATATCTTTCCTCTCAACTACTGTTGCTCTAATATTAACATTAATTAATAATTTTAATTAAAAATAAACAAAATAATTAAACAAATGATAGCTATAATCTTACTTGAAGACAACACACCCGGATCCAGGTGCAGGTGCATGCCACATCACACTGATCTCCATCTTAGACACCGATGATGTGTGAGTCACTGCATTTGGACAATCATCTGATAATTTGACCAAAGAATCGCTATATAACTAAATATATTAAAATACATTACTATTTATTTATTATATAAATCTTAATAAATTTATCTAATATAAACTACAATTATCATATACAGTATTTGCATGAATAACAATATTGAATAATAAAAAATATAATAATAATAATGTATATAAAAATCAATTATTATGACAACAATATTCATCAAATTTATGATCTTTAATAATGTTAATAACTTTTTTCACACTTCACATAAGTTCTATGCATCTGAACTAATGGTCCAAAACTAAATATAATATTTTAACTATTATTATTATTATTATTATTATTATTATTATTATTATTAATGTTATCATTGAATTTCAAGATTTAGTAAATAATTTAGATATGACTTGAGGTTTCAAGCAAACTGTCATAAATTGAAATCCCAATTCAATCAATAGTCTAACTGTTGGTTCCAAAATTCTGATTGCTTTTTATTATTGCCATTACTTTTGTTGATATAATTCACTTTATATACAGTATATGTTTAACATTTAAAGAATATTCTTATGGCAATTCAATTTTATTTATTCAATTTTATAGCAATGAATTGCTATTATTTATTATTTATAAAGAGATTTTTAATAAAAAAAATTAATTCAAATTAAATTACTTTATTATTTTTCGCAAATCTATTAACCAAATGTATAAATATCATTATTTCAACTGATATTCATTGTTCAGTTACTCTTTAAATGTTTTCCAATAAATTAATATAATTAGTAAAAGAAGCAAAAAGTCAATTGTATTGATTGGTGTGCAGGCATTGAGAGAGACATTTCAAACTAATGGATAAATTGAATATAAATATATATAAAGGATAGCTTAATAGTGTAAACGTGACACCAAAACAAATGTGTCGCACAGATTGATTGAAATTAGGGATTTGATATCAGATTAAATGATTACATTTGCAATATTTTCACACAAATTGCTTAATTCATTATTTAAGTGATCGATTAAATCGCTTATTAGTTAAAATGCTTTCAATTTAGAAAGTTTGATAAATTGAATTGAATGTGTTTTTTACATTATTATAGTTTATAAAACATAATGATGTCATACCTGGAACTGTCCGACATCTGGCAAAATGGGTGGTCCGGTGGCCGCAGAGGTCATCTCCTGTCGGGTCTCCTGAAGAGGTTCGACGACTAACAGAAACTCAATAAACTTGTGAACACTTGTCGTCGATTTGGATATCCGTTGGTCTCCTTGAAGAACAACTATTCAATAGAGAAAAAATCAATTAAGTGTTTTGTATTTGACTTTTGGTTGTTTTAGTTTTAATTGTAACAAAACATAGACTAAAAGCAATCAATAGTAAAGATGAAGTGTAGATCCCATTGGGTTTGCATTTGTCTATAAAAAGAGTAAATTTTGTATCTCTTTTGTAACAAAACTCATAGTAATTCTCAATAATTGATGAAAGAATTGCCGCATTATTTATACACGAATTACATGAGTATTACTATTAAATTATATTACTTTTGTTTGTGTTGTGTATTCTATAATAAAGTGTTACACATAACACACAAATAACAGACACACACACACACACACACACACACACACACACACACACACACACACACACACACACACACACACACACTCACTCACTCACTCACTCACTCACTCACTCACTCACTCACTCACTCACTCACTCACTCACACACACACACACACACACACACACACACACACACACACACACACATTGATACACATTTGTGCTCATCATAACAACAATATTCATAGATTAGTAAATTAAGTTTATTTTTCATTTAGTTAATCATTCAAATAACGTATCGTATATTTTATGTGACTCTAAATAAATATACAATACTTAAAGTTAATTAAATATTCATAAAAATTGTATAACAGATTTCATTTGTTATCGTATTAAATATACGATTAAAATTGATTAATGAAAATAGTATACTATCATATTTTTAGCTTTTTATTATAATTAAATTTTAGTGATTATATTAATATCATTGAGTATAGTAATACAATTAAAATATATTTGGTATTTATAGAAAAATTGTTGATTTAATTAAAATTGTTGATCAAATAAACAACTTTATAAATATATAATGAATGGTTATTTAAATTTAATATTATATAATAAAATGAATACAAACATTGTTTTAAATAATATGTTTGCAAACAATAGTAATGTCTTTATTTTGATTCAATGAAGTCTAATATTTTTATTTTACTAAAATATAGTGTCGTCTATAAAAACAAATTGAATTCTCTTTATTTTATACTATTTTCACTATATCTCAACAATATCTAAGTTAATAGCACCGGTAAGAGCACTGATATTTTTAGAGTAAGGACTAAAAGTAAGTTTTTCAAATACCGACTCTCTCTCTCTCTCTCTCTCTCTCACACACACACACACACAAACACACAGTACATACACAGACAAACACAAAGACAAGTCTCTATTGTTATATGTCTTTAGGATAAATATAATGAAACAATGTTTGAGTGCATAATAGAAATAGAGGCCAATTCCTAATTTGATCTCATCATCGAAATGTTTGCTTACGATATATAYTGTAAAGTGCTGGACATGTGCTTACACTTGTATAGACTAACGGCACTATTTGTAAGGTTAACTATAAAAGTAAAGTATTAGAAACTATAGTCATCAATAAACAAATTGATAAAAATTTTTAACAATACATTTATGTTTAGTCCATGAAAGGCCATAATCAACAAAAATATTTTTTTTTTGTAGAAAACTAAATTATAAACAACAACAATAACAATAGTGGACTTAAGTTAATTTAGCGGTACGTCCAACAAAATTGCTGATATTTTGCTTCAAACATTCAAATACCTTACGGCTAAACAAAATAAATACTTTTCAATATAAATTACATCATATAAACACAATACTATATACAATGTACAGAATATTCTTAGGTTTACCAAAGTTGTAAGTATGGTTAGACATTAACTTCTCATACAATAATATTATATACATACTGTATATACCGTATATATTATTATTATAACATACATAATATAAAAAGCTAAATATGTATATTGTATGCTTAATTGGGTTACTTTAAAAATATGAATAAAAATATTTTTTTTGTAGTTTTCTGCCTAAAGAATTTACAAAATTTTAATTTAAATCTCAAGCTTCAAGAATATATTAAAAATGTCAGAAATAAAAATTATATTTTTAAGATAAACATATATTTAAAATATTCTATAGTTAGTTGTATGAGACGTTAGAAATTTCAATGAGAAACTGATATGTTTTAAAAATGCACTCAAAACTTATATATAGCAATATATAATTGTTTAGATTCCGTAAATGACAGCTACCAAATTTCAAGTAAATTCCCCTCAATTTTTTAATGTTAGCCCCATATCACTGTCAATGTTATGAATCTTTTAGTTGCCATCACTTTGTAAATATAGTTTAAAAAGTAAATATTTAATATTTTCACATAAAATATTATTGAATGAAGTTTTATTTTGATAACAATGTTTGTAAATTAAAAATATTTTGCTAATTATATTGCGCAAGTTATCACAAGGTTGTCGTTCATTAGTAACAAAAATATATTTATATATCAAAAACAAAATGTGTTTCGTCTACTATTAACAAAAAAAAATAGTTTGTATGGCATTTGGCCAGAGACTCATAAACGTTAAACAAAGCGTACTGTTAATGAAATATATTTTCAAAAGAAAATTATTAATATAATAACTTTACAATATTATAATCACTTGAAAAAATGATTAGTGATTTTGTTGCTCTCGTTATTAATTCATAGAAAAAAGTAATAAATCTTAACATTACATGAAAAACGATATTCACTACAAAATCATTGGCTCGTAATAAATAGAAATATTTTGATATAATTTTCTTTATTAATCTAATTTATTAAAAATATTTTCGTTAGTTTATCATATTTAAAATATAAATATAGAATATAAGTTATATTTTTAATAAAATTAAAAAATGAAAGTGATTAAAAATTTTATGGAAATTTTTAATGTTTACATATCTAATAATACTGTATTTCATTTTCTAATAATTGTTTAAAATGAATGCCCTATTATGAAATGTTTCATTTAATAAATAAATTAAAGTGTATTAACAATTTAAGATTATATAACAAATAAACATATGTTTATATTAAAATTGTTTGTGTTATCTCTAATTCTTAATATAAATTTCAAAGTATTTTATGTAAACATCAAAATAACATATTTATGTAATTTATTTATATAATTAAGAAGTCGTATGGTTTTAATTATATTACATATAAAACAGTAAGAAAATAAAGAAATAAGTTTGAAATAAAATAATATCTTTTAAAATAGTGATCTCACTTTTAAAATATCTGTAAATATGATTTTGATGGCCTCATAGATTTTTGTATTGTTTTGTAGACAATTTAATATTGTTATAAAAAATAAATATATATTTTTTAACTTAAAATACACTTTATTTTATAGAGAGACAAGTTTAGCATTTAATAAGAGATGAAAGTTGAGATATATTGGATCTAATAGTTTAAAAACTTAAGCAATTTTTCAGTTTTAAATTAAATAGCAAATCTAATTTCAACATATAATTTATCATATCATATAAATTTAGTATATATATATATATATATATATATATATATATATAGTATACAAATTTATACATTATATATATTTTTATATTATATATTATAATATAAATTTCAAAATATTATTACTATGTTTTGTGTTTAAGTTTACAAATTAATTGAAACAAAAATACTATATTTATGCTTTTGTGTCAAATTGATTAATATTAATGCTTTTGCAAACAAATAAATAGCAGATCAAATAATATAAACAATAAGTATTGTCATTTAAACAGTTTTTAAAAAATAATAATAATGTTTTTTAAATAATATTAGGAAAATCCGTATTATTATTAAATAGAAAATCTAAATTCAAAAATGTTACCAATACTACAATATAATATTTAATAAACACAATTATTGTATATTTTAGTAGTTATATAAACAACTTTAAGATACTATTTTAAAAATTTAATACTTTCTGAGACCTATATAAACAGTTTTCCATAAAATATTCGAAAAAATAATATAAATAAATAAAATTTGAGATTTAAAAAATGTAATAATTGAAATAGTTACCTGTATACATTTCACCTGGTACATATTTTTCAGGATTACCACTCAATTTAATCTTAAAACCATTATTTCCTTTAGTCTGAGTTGTGGCCACATTTGTCGGCTCACGACTACAACTGGTGGTCTGATAGGAAGCGCCGTAACGACTGTACGGCGAACTCGTGATCACTTCGGCATCACTTTCGCTAAATTGTTGTATAAATGCTAATATCGTCACTAATAATAAACAGATGGATGTCTTATATGATACAAACATCAGAGTTAGTCTCTGTAATTGTTTCATCATTTACTTTGTTTGAATTCAATCACTTAATTGTTAATAAAAAAATTGAACTAAAAATTTGGAATCCATTCAAATAGTTTGACTTAAATTCACTTATTGTTTGAAATAGTTATTAAAACATTTATATATAAGAGAAATGTATGAATAAGTTTGTTTCAGACAATCTTTGCAATGAATTTGAGAGTCAGATCTTGGAGTTAGTCGTTCAATGAGTTAACACAAATGCCTGTACTCTGTCTATGCGGGAGTCTATGTAAGTGTGTTATGTTATGCGCGCACTCAAGCACTGGCACATCACTGGCATCCCAGTCCCTCATACAGTAGTTAAAGGATAAATACATCGACGGCATACATATGACAACATATGACAACACTTGATGAGACACTGAATAGTTAGTGCAAATCTAGATCACTATTGATGTGTTGCCATATGTCTACAGTTCCTAACTGTACACTTGAATGATGGCAATGGTATATAAACTCTGGGGTACATAACAACTGTACTGTACTTCTTATATCACTTGATGTACCAAATAATTGGCTGATAAGTCAATTGCAAACAAATCACATCACTATTATCACAACAATTACTACCAATTTATGGCACACATTGTAGTGCATTGTATTGAGATTGTAATGCAATGTAAGGCAGCGAATGATTGATTTAATTATTTGACTCGCAATGCATTGACTCTATCAATGATAGTATCAATGCTATCAATGCTATTGCTGTCCAACTCATGTATTGTATGCCATACTAAGTACTCACCAAATACTCACAATATTATTAAATTGTATTGATATTAATCAATTAGATAGAAATCTAACATTGCATTACATTTAATGCTTTAATTCATGTTATTAAAGCATATATTTATTTATATAGTATAACAATAACTAAGAATTGTCATAAAAATTGTAATAATAATAAAAATCATTATAAATATTAGTTTTTAAAAGTACAACACTATAAAAACAGATTATTCTCTAATGTTTACACTATTTACTCTACATTTGCAGTATTTATTATGTGATAATAAAGAATTTTCTCTTTAATTATGAGAAATTATATAACATTTTTAATGTGTTTGATGTCTATATGTCTGTTTGATCTGTAAAGAGAAACTTATAGACTTTGAGGTAATGTTTACAAAAGAGGATTATTTAATATAATACTAATTAATAGACGAATAAATGTACCGCTAATACAAACATTTACAACAGTCTAATAGTCCCATAGAGTCACTTAAAAGTAAACTTAAAATGTAAATAATTTGATCTAATTTATAATATTTTTTATTAGATAGTGTATTACTATACTGTATATTAACACAAATAAAAAATACTATAAATAATAATTTTGTTACTATAAATTATAAAAACTTTAATTATATAATATAATAAATAACTATATAAATTTCAATTTATTATAAATTAGTAATTTATAAAATATAAAATAATTAAAAAGTTTATAATAATTAAAAATAGCCATTTTTCACAAATCGTTTAATGATGTGATATATAATTAAATATAAATTGTTATAAACAACAAAAATTGCAAAATATTGTAACATAAAAATGATGAAAATAATAATTATGATAATGATATCAAATAAAAATTAATTTGACGAAAAAGTGCAATGTTTAATAAGGAAAAAAACTAATTGTTAATATAAAATATATAATAAGTATATATATAATGCTTAACATAGCTATAAAAATAAAACTACTATTAAATAAATAGATATCCCATAAAATTGATATGATTTTTAAAGCTAACTAACGGCACACATCTTTACATGAGATGTGAGTATATTTTTTTCACCAATTTTTGTCATTTCTGAGAGTCTGTCACATCTGTTGTCAGCATTGAAGTCACGTTTGTTTTTGACATTTTCTAAGAGTTTGTGATTCAAAAACCACTACTACTTTGTGTCTGTCCTTTAAGTCATGACTCATGTGTCACATCATTAAGTTATAAATGCTTTTATATATTATATATATTTACTTGAATTTAGAGACTCGAGACTCTGTTTCTTATATCAATTTTGATTTATAACATTAGTTTTTATAATATCTTCAATAATAAATAACTAAATTAATCTAAAAATTATTTATATATCACTAATACGTATTACGTATATGTGCTGTATTATATATATATACAGTATATATATTGAATATTAAATATTATGCAAAATTTTATAAAACAGTGAATTCATATAAAAGTCAAGAAAAATATTCAAACATTTGTGTTCAGATCATGTCTTGTAGTCAATACTTTAGTAAAGCCGTATAAAATACAGTATATATAGTAAGTTATATAACTACAAAACATATATATATATATATAAGTGTTTATTACGAATAAAATAAAAATTATTTAATCTCTATTAAACTCTGTTTGATATAAATGAACTCTAAAAATTCAAACGGTGTCCAATATTTTGTATATAAGCTAAAGAAAACATTAAAACTGATATTAAATTACAAATAAATACAGAATTATATGATAAAAGCTTTTAATGCCACTAAAAATGTGTTATTTAATAATATTTAATATAAGAATATATTTATTTTACAATTATTGCACAAATATAGAAATTCAACACTATTTAATTTTATTTACTTATTTTATTAATAAAAAATGTCAAAGTTTAATAAGTTTTTATATTTTAATAATAAAATCTTATTAAATTAAATTTAAAGAAGTGATAAATTGCCGTTAATTTGAATTTGAATTAATTAACAATTGATTGATAATAAATGATTTTATATAAAATAATTTTAACAAAAAAATTTCAATTCATTTTCTGAAATCATCACTTTTTCTTATTTTTCAAGAAATTAATGACATCTTCATCATTAAATGACTTAAATTTCCGTTAAAAGTTGTCAGTTGTGATGAAAAATCATTGAAATCAATAACCATTTATATGCATATTCTATATATATATATATATATAAATAATATTCTCTATTAATTTTATGATAACAAAAAAATATATGACGTTTTGCTGACATTAAATTGATTTTGATGTCTATTATATTCATTGAACCATTAATTAAGATTTCAAAATATAATCTTAGACTAGAAAACTATGATAAATAAAAACCGATAGGTATAACAATTTTAGTCAGTAATACTCAGTATATTTATACAGTATTGCAATATATTTCAATATACATTACATGTTAGATATAATCGGATTATATGTAAATGCTGTAAGAATACAATATTCAAAATAGCAATAACTTTATGAATGTATTATAATATTAAAAGATAAACTGAGAGCACGAAATGTGAATTAAATTAATTTAAATTAATGATTTGTTTTTATCGTTAAAATTGCTGATTTTGTGCAAAAATGTTATTATTTTTTATAAACACAAATACTTTTCTAGATAATAAATACTTCTACATTTAATTTCATTATTAATTTAAATAAATTAATATTTTAAATACAGTGTATGACTCATAAATTAATTTTATTTTACTTTATTTATAAATTGCACAAATATTTTATGCATATTTTATAATTAAATTTATAATATATACATAACATCTTATTAACAATTGACACATTAGTTAGTTAATCAATACGCAGACATTTGTAATAACAATAGTTAATTAGTTAATTATCACACTAATCAATAAATATAATATAAACTTGGATTTTATGACAACAGATGTTAAAATTGAGAAAATCACAAAAATCATTGCAATAAAAAAATAAATAATTATAGAATACTTAGAGTGACTAATAAATTGTATTTTCAAATGAATTGTTACACTTGAGAAATGTCATCAATTTGTTTAATTAAAAAGTTTGTGTTAAAGAGTGTATGTTATGTATGTATTATTACTATATATACAGTATATATACAAATACTGAATATACAGTACAAATGTGTGGCAAATGTTGTGTAATGTTTGCCTCATTTGCTAGAATTGGTGAAACAATTTTCAATGACATTATTACATGCTTTGGTTACTCCTATACATCACTTGTTAATTCTTGTTACACATTAAATGTGTGAACATTTTAATGCCTTTAAATGACATCAAATTTTTCAAACAATGTATGCTTTATTTTGGGCTAAACTTTAAAACTATGAACTTATGATTTTTGAAAGATTGATATTTGCCAGGAGTTGATTCTCTCAAAACAATGGGTCGATATAGTCATCACAATCTCTTAATATCTGTCATCAGCCAGAATACAGGTGCTGTCAGACAGACAGCACTGGTATATTATCGACAACATTACGGACCACCACTTAGAGCCGGTGCAGCTGTCGCTCAGCGCAAGCCATGCAATACATGTCGTCGAGAGATGTAATACAATCTCTGCACTGTTTATACGGAAATGAGAATCTATTTTATGGGTAAAAGCCGTTCGCATCGCTCACACCATAAGTGCCAACACTTTCCCTATGAATACAATGCTATTTCGGATATTAATTTTTGATTCACAAATAAATGGCTTCAATGGCTTACAAATCGATTTTTCAAGTATTTTTCAAATCGTATCAAATTTTATATAATATTTTAATATGAAAATATTTTTTAATACCAATAAATATTAAACATATCAAACAAGTAAATACTTATAATTCAAATAAATGCTGTCATAATTGTTGCCACCAATACTATAAAGTTTTTATAACTTTTCAAATTAAATTAGTTAATAATGCAATAATATTGTATGATTTACAATAGAATAGTTAGAATAGCAATAGAATAGTATAATAGTTTTAAAAATAGGTGTTTAAAAGTGTGTTAAATGATTTGAACATTTGATGGAAATGGTGAGAGAAAGGCATGTGAGACCTGTTTGCAAATACCACTTCAGGGAATTTGATGATATAAGCGTCAAACATATAGTTTTCCTAAAGAGGCATAAAATGTTATATAATATACAGTATATAAATTGGTCTAAAAAAGTGAATGTCTGTTATATGTGTTCACGTGAGAGATGACGGTCTTATCACACAAATTCAGTGTTCAAGACATCATTTTTCATTTAATACAAACAACTTATGGTTATGTTGCCGGTGCCGGCATTTTATAGTAAATATGCTTTATATAAACACAACCATAACTATTGATATACTATTGTATTTGGATAAGCATTGCTTGGATCAACTGTCTTAAAGCTCTTAATGCATATATCATTGTTTTTCAAATCAATCTAACCATAGAATTATATTTTTTTGACCATTTATATAAATTTCATATTCATTCAAACAAAATAAAATGTTTATCCAATAGTACAGTATATGACTCGGATATAATAGATCTTCTATTGACATAAAATTCATATTTTTCTAAATTTAAAGTATTAATACTGTATAACAAATAAAATATCATAATGTTAAATGATTTGCTAATTGTTAAGAAAATAATTTATATAAGTCGTGCATAAACTAATAGTTTACTTAAAAAACAATTTTTGATTTAAATCATCATTTGTTTGAAGTGATCGATAATAGGCTTTGACTAATGAGTTAAAGAGTAGATTACTTAAAGAGTTAGCTTTGACTACAAATTAAATTATATGTTCTCTACTCTACTAAAGCTATAAACTATTGCTTTCCTTTCCGTCAATCAATTCTATAGTCTCCACTAATTCTGCTATTTATTCAATAGTATGGCAACAAAAACAAGTTTATATATATTATAATAAGTAATATTTATTAAGTTTTGTGCACAAAAAAAATGAATATCGGATATTACAAAATATGTTTTACTAGTATGTGAAACAACTATTAGTTGTTAACGTGTTTGCACTTTACGGTCAAATTACATAATACCGAAAACATTTCCAAAATACTATAATATTCTAGCAATTAATATAATTTTCTCCTATAATTAAATTAACAACTGGTATTAGTTTTGAATAACTTTTTAATACTAACATTTCAGTTATAATAATTATAGTCTGATTCATATTTTATTATTACAAAATATTATTTATTTTTTTATATAGTAAATCATTTATATATCTAGTATACAGTAAAGTTGTCAATTTGCGGAGAGTTAACATATAAGTGCTAAATTAAACAATAACACATTAGTTACCAAATATGCATACATTTAAAATAATGTGTTTTACAAACAATCAAAAATATCTAAATGGCATTATATAGATAGATAAAGTAAAATATTATAAATTAATAGAAAAATATTATAAATTAATAGAAAAATATTATAAATTAATAGAAAAATATATATTTTTTGACATTATTAATAATTAATATTAACATTATTTCAATGTTATCATCAGTAAAATTTGTTAAAAATAATATTTTATCATTATAAATAAACAATATGTGCAATCAAGTGATTTCCATTTTAAACAATTAAGCATTCATTCAACAACTCATTGAATATAAAATTAGTTTAAATAATAAAATTGAAATGATTGGGAAATATTTTAACAAAAAGTATTAAATACTGTTAAGTAATAATAATTATAACAGTAATAGTGATAATAAGTGAGATAATAATTGTTGTTAATTTTTATTATAATTATTTAATGTACTTATTATGTATATTTTTTAATTTTTTATTATTTTTCATTTTATTATATATTTTTCATTATTTTTTAATATTTTTTAAAACATGTATTTATAAATTTTTTCCCGCAATTTGACATGTTTAGTATACAGTATACAGTGTATACTGTATAATATAGTATATTAAATAAAAATATTTTATTTAGACTACCGTATATTGACTTTATCTATATTAATATTCATTATTATAATATTAAAAATATTACATAATCCTAAATTTGTATACTGTATTTGCAAAATAAATCAAATTAGTGATCGGAGTAAATATTTAGCAGAAATAAATATATTGTGTTTAGGGTTTAAATTACACAAAAGCAATATATACTTAAATTCATTTATCAAACGCTAAATTTAATGAATTTGTTGTCATAGTTCTAGATTTATTCATTTTAGTTATATATATATACTGTATATATATATATATCATTAGATATATACAGTAAATAAAAATTATACAAAATATATCTTATCTCTTGTTTTGCATAAAACTTGTTTATATTAATAAGTTTTATTTTATTTATTGATTATTAAAGTTATGTTCAGTTTTTTAAATAAATTTTTTATTATATAAATGTTAATACTCAACAATTTTATCATTTTATTCTAGTTTTTAAAGTAATAGTTTAGTCTTAAAAATTAAATATTGTATATATGTTTACTCAAACCAATTATAGTTATACAAAAAGTTATATATATATCAGTATATGGAATTAAAGTATTAAAGTTGTCATTTAATTTATTTAAAAAATTAAATTTTATTATAATGTAAGTTAAATCTTTTATAAATTGTATGTTATAATCCGTTTATGCAATAAATATATATATTAAAACAATTAGACAATTTTACAATAACTTCCGTAATAACAATATTACTTAAACATATAAAAATTTATCATATTTAGAATATGATGGTTTAGTGTTGGCAAAAAATAGAAATTTATAAAATAATAGAGAAATTTCTAGAAAGTTTCTAAAAGAAATTTCTATCTATGGGATCCCCATGTTAATTTTGTTTTTCTCGATATATGTTATCATGTAACAATACATTGTTTTTACAAGTAATTATTAAATATGAGTATTAATATTTTAATTATTAATTAAAGTAAAAATTAACTTATTTAATTATCTTAAATTCTTATATATATAATAAAATGATTATTAAAATTTTACAAAATTGATTATTATTAAATAATTATAATTATTTTACATATAGTTATCCCATTTTGTATAGTATAATGTTATTCATATAATGTTTCATTATTAATATAGTATTACAATAGCTGTAGATATGGGGATCCCATAGTATAACAATAAAGTTAAATTTCTATGGAAATTTATTCCTGAGAAACTTTCTAGAAACTTTCTCAAGGAAATTTATTAGAAACTTTCTATTTGCCCATCTCTATGATGGTTACTTAAAAAATATTGGTATGTATTATAATAACAAAATAATTATTGTATTATTTTTATCATTAAAATTAGTAAAGTATAATGATTATTGCATTTAAAATAATCTAATAAACAATCAATGTACATTTCATCTATAAATATAATATTTCAAATTATTAAATATATATTTATCACTTTAAATAGATAAACACATTAATTAATTATCATTGAGATTTGTAACAAGTGTTTCAGTAAACTTTATATTTTGCTTTAATTGATAAATAAATTTGTTTAAATAATAATTTTGATAAAACGAAATATAATACTTTAATAAAAAAAATAACATAAACCACTTTGAAAATACAACAAAAAACAAAGCCATATAAAAAATATTAAACAATATTTCGAAATTTAACATTTTTTTCAGTAGATTATCTGAAAATGTTTTTACCATTTAATATAACATCAAAAAATATAATGTTTCAACAGTTCTTTAAATAGTGCACTAGATTTTAGTAAATATAAAAATAATGTCAATTATATATCTTTTTTTGTCTTTTATCGATTAACAGTTCATTTATACAATAATATAGAGTAGTATTTTAGTGTCCATTTATTTAACCCATAAATTCAAATAATTAATATTTAGCATATATGGTACAGCCATATAAGCAATTTATTATGAAAATTGTGCTTGATAATTTATAAGCAATATTATCATACTTTAGCATTCATGTTGTTGTTATGAATGTTTGAAAATGTTTTTGTTTAAAAAATATTAAAGAAATAAATAATAAAATATAAGAGTAAAATACTGTATATTTGCGTTATTTTATTGCTGTTTTTGGATCGAAATTATTGAATAAAAATAAGTAAAATAACAATTAATCATAAAATAGTGATTCATTTTATTACTCGCTTTAAGTATCAATAATATAAATCAAATGCATAAAAATAAGAGTAAATTTACATAAAATTAATTATCAATTCACTAAAATTTTCAAGTTATTTAGTATCGATTATATCGATTTTTATATAATTGTGTATTGAAAAAGTTGGCATTTTTGCATTAAAAGATTGAAAAATATTAAATTTTAAATATGTTTACTAAAATTAAAATTTAAAAATATCAAACATTTAAATAAATGTTAACTTCAAAATAATTAAATTTATAGTTTTTATGGTTATTCATTGATATATCATAATATATTATAAATCAATAATTATGCCAATAAATACAATTTCATTAAAAGTGATCATTATTTATAACTTTCATTATAAATCCAAACGTTTTATTTTGAATTAATTAAATGAATATAATATGAATACAGTATATTAAATACAGTATAACATAATAACATGAATATAATATGCAGTATATTTTATTAAAATTATTTTTAATTTATTCATTATTATAAATATTTACAATAAGATATAAAAACACAATTAATAGATTTATTATACATAAATTGTTTAACTAAGTAATTATTTGATATTTTTATTTTTTTAGCTATTGTTATGTCATTTAATTGCTATTTGTTTGTGTTGTTTAGATAATATAATTTTTGTGTAGCAATAAATTATTTATTATTATCAATTTCTAGACATTTTAATTGTCTTTAATTATACTTCAAATAATAATAAAATATTTACATTATTATCCAATATTATTCAGAATCAATAATTATATAATTATAGTAAATTAATAACAACGTTTCTATGAAGTTTATCAGGTAAATTCATTGATAAATAATTAAAAAGTAATTTAACATTAATTTATAATTAATTCTAAATAATTTTATATTATGTTACACCCTTTAGTTAATTTTTAACTTTTTTTATAAAGTACTATAACTTAATAAAGAGAGATTAGGACATCAATGGTTTAGTTTGCACACACAATGTATGTAAAATTTTTATAAAAATAAATGTAAGACATATTTACTATAACTATAGACTATAACTTCTATCATTTAAATATTAAATAATAATAAAAATTTATTTTATTTTTTATAGCTAAAACATTCAACAATAAGTAAAATAATAAACTAACGTAAAGTAATATACTATACAAGATATACTTAATTTCAATATATTTTAATGCATAAAAGTTTATTTTTTAAGATTTAATAATTGATGAACTAATTTGCGTAAAAGTATACCACTTATTTAGTTATCATTTGGTAAAAATAAATTGAAATACTATACTATCAAATACTCATTAAATATCAATCACAACATCTATTATTCATTAAGAAAGTTTGATTTTTCCACTTGACTTATTGCTAATAATAAAACTAATTTATTATCAGTTATTTTATGATTATAAATTGTATTGATTTTTGTAGTTTTACCTGAATTTATAGTAAAAATAATTCATTATAATTTATAAAGTTATGAAATTTTGTTATTATATTTCGCATCCCAAGAGATACAGCTATAACTTATTATTATTATCGTATGTCAAAAATACAATCTAAGTATAGATTGATCTATTAATACACCAAATATAACGTATATTTTACAATATATATAGATATACAATATGTATGATATAAAGGTAAGTACTGTACATGTATAACATAGGTATAAAAATATACAAAGTTGTTATACAGTATATATAGAAATATATTAAATATTATATTTATTTAGATAAATGATTGCAAGCCTTATGAAAGTTATTGTTTATATAATAGTTTACTAACTTATGCAATATCTTTTATAGTAACTTATAATTATAATTAAAAACTGTACTATCTCAGAAATAATTTTATTTTTAGTCATATTTATATAAATATATATATATATTTAAAAGAAAGATAAGATTTAGGAAAAATATTATCGAAAAATATATATTTATATTTATCAGATCAGAATTTATTACTATTGAAATTTGAATCTAATTTATAATGTTTAGTATAAATATATAAAATTTATCTGATATTGTAATGACTCAGATGCAAAATTAAAAACGTGAATGACTAAAAATTAATAAGTTTTTAAATGTTATTTATTTTCATCAATTATATAATTTTAGTTAATTATACCAGTACATTACTCTATTAGTATTTATCAATCATTAGTAATATTAGATTTGATGTAATCTTAGATATAATTTACTTGAAATATAATATAAGATATACTACAGTTTTAAAATACTGTATACGGTATATTAAAAATATTTTTAACTATACAGTATATAATAACTACTAAACTTATGCATATTTTGATTTAAATATATTATCATACTGTATAAGTCAATTTATATTTGTTAATAAATAAAAAGTGCAAATAAAATATTTAATCCAATCATCACAACAACAACAAATATTTTGATATACAGTACTAACCAAAAAATCTAAAATATTTATAATTTTATGCGACAAATATAATCTTGAGTTAAATTGAATTCTATAATATATTATGCATTTTTGGTTTTATGAAGTATATGTATAAATATAGTTTATAAATTTTAATACTTGAAAGTAGAAATAAGTGAAATTTAAAACAATCTAAAATATAATGATTTCATTATATAATGGTAGATCATCATCATTTTAAAAATGCAAAAAAACAAAATATTAACAAATATTAATAGATCTGAATTAATGTTTGAATTTACTTTATTTGATTTTTATTCGTAACTAAAATATAATTTTACTTTTTAAAAGATTTTTTTTTATTATCATAATTAATAGATTTGATAATTTTTTCGTTATCACTTTTTTCCTCTTCTCTTATTGCAATTGAGTGATAAAATAGATATAAAGCACTTACTATTAAAATGACAAAAACTATTACATTAATCCAAACTAATATATGAATAACTGATAACAAAATGCTAGAAAAGTTAAAATAAATGTCAATTAAAAAAATTCAAACATAATATCGTAAATACTGTAACAAACTTGTGTTCATTGAGAAACTTGTCTAACGAACAACAGTGATGTCCAATAATATCCGTATAATTGTTATCAACAATGGTCTCAATATTATCACTAATATCTTCATCGATATTATTATAGCAACAATATAACAGATCAGGTGATAGACATGAAATAGTTGTCAGTTGAGGTCGACCTTCATGTCGACACTCGACAAACTCCGAGCGCCACAAACTATATGTCATCGGTGTGTCTGAAGATTTCATAAAATAAATTTATTTATCATTTTTTTATATATTTATAATATTTACTTACATGAAATGCAAACAAATAAACTACAGACAAATATTTTGTAAATAAAACCCATTTTATTAACCAAAAAAAGTTATATCAAATTACAATTGAATTGTTTAAATCTAATTGAATTCACGATTCAATAATAAATAAAAAATAAATTTCATGAATTAATAAAAATTCAGTAATAATAAACTGTATAAATATTTTAATAAAATATTATTTTATAAGTAATAGATTAATATAATGAATAAATTATAGCTAAACTATAATAATTATAATTAATAAAAATTAAAATGTTAGACATTTCTATGTATTTTACTCGTAACAGGACTCGAACCAGAAGATGATAATTTATCTTTGATTTCATTATCATTATCTTCATCTGAATTACCATTTCTTAATGGAGGCAAACGGTAAGGGATATTATTGGTAGGACTGATAAATCCATCGTTGACGACGCCGTACCCAAAACCATAAGAAGGAATTCCTGCATTAAGACTGGCTCTCAGATTGTTAATTAAATTGAATGTATGGGGCATCAGATGACTAAGCATTTGATGCGGACTATGGATGTTCTGGAAGGGTTGGTACGGACTGTTAGGAAATCCTTGACTTCCAAAAGCCATGTGTCCTATATTGAAGCGATTATGATGCGGATAACCTCCGATAGGAATTAACCGTTTGGTATCATAATTAGGTTGACCAGTGCTATGACTTATTGGATATGGATTTGCGGTTCGCATCGGATGATTGCTTTCAAATCTTATATCTAAAGGTCTAACAGGGTTTGGATAATTGGTATTCATGTCATTATATAGAGGTAATGAACCATATTCTTGATTATGGGGTCTTTTCATATAATTATGACTTTCAAATAATGATGATAACTGAGCTTCAGTTGCAATCACATAAAACATTAGCTTAAAAGTTAATTAAAACAAATTATAATAATTGATTGTTTTAAATATTTGTAAAAATAACTTACCAATATTATTAAATTAATGTAATACGATTTAACCGATATCATTTTGCAATAATAAAACTTTATTTGATTTACTTTAATTTAATAACCTCTCAGTTAAAATAAAGTAACAAAAATCTAAACGTTTTTCCATGAAAATCATAATCAAAATCATGAAACCATTCAAAGAATTTATCGACAATTATTGGTTAAAACTATAGTATAGTTACAGCAAATGTAGTAAAACGCTAAGTCATCTTCCGCTTTGAATTAATTGAAAAAAATCACAAAAGTTTATTTTACTCCTAGTTTTAAAAACTATGTTTGATTAATAATTTTTTAAAAATCGCAATACCGTTAATTATAAATTGACACGAAATTTTTATTATATAAGAGTAAATAAACTTTAATAATAGCATAAAATGTTAAATAAAATAAATAAAATATATATAATTTACGGCAAAAAATCTCAAATAACCATTAAGTGGGTCTTTAAGTTATATTAACTTCTAAACATAAAACATTTTCAAACAAATCTAACTTTTTAAATGTTTGCAAAGATTATTAATATAATCATCAATTTTGATAATAGACTAAACAAAATAGATTTTAAAAATATTTATAATCTACTGTATATTATAAATTAAATTTCAATAAATTTAAGGTAAAATTTTACTTATATTAACAAAAATATGAATAAGCGGTTTGTAAATAAGTAAACTTTTAAGAATTATTTGGAAATAAAAAATGATTAGAACTTAAAATAATAATTTTATACAAAACAACACAAAATATGTTTGAAATGTGTTTTCATTCATTAATTTTTCTTTTTAATTGGATTTTAACTCTGAATAGATTCCTTCAGAGTTGTCTTCGCTCTCAATTTCTCCGCCCAATAGAAGTTCCTTAGAGTTGGCGTCGGGAACCCATAAACCCGAGTCAATGCATCGCTTCATATGAAGGCGTGCCTCTTCTTCAGGCATTTCCGCAATTGTTTTCTGAAGAAGTTGAATATCACGCGATTCAAAGCACTTTTGAAGCGATTCTGGCAGTGAATTGAAGACATCTTCTGGATCAAGACCTCCTGGTGAGGAAGCGATACGTTTTTTTCTCTCTTCTTCTTCTACTTCTTTCATAGCCTGTTCCACCCGAATGCGAGCCCTCTCACGGATTCTCTCTTTGAATGCCCGCAACTCGTCTTCAAACGCGTCTTTGTATTCTTTGTCTGCTTTATCAATGCGTGCAAAGAAAGATGAGACACATCCTCGTGGATCGACATCGAGTTGTTTGGCTAATTCAAGGATGTACTGCATTGACACCACTTGTTTGGCAACAAATTCCATCAAATCGTGTTTGTCTTCAATCTCAAGATTTAGACACCAAAGCGCCAAATAGTTGGCCGTCTCTTCACAAACTTTTTAAAAAAATAAAATAATTTTATAATTTATAACTAAAATACATTTCAATGTCCAATAATATAAACTTTTATGATATACACCTAAATCATGATTTTCCATAAGATATCGTTTGCAATCTTCTGGTTTGCCTAACATTCCGAAGTGTTTTAGCTTTTCTTCGTTTTTCTTTATAAACTCTTTGTAGAACTTTTCCTGTTCTTCTTCGCTCAGATTACTTCTGTCGGCTCGAGGTTTTGGTTTATTGATGACAGTCTTATTGCATCCTTCCTTAGAGATGGTGTCCACATTCCAAGGCAGTAATTTCTCCTTTTGATCCAACTCTTCTTGTTCTTTGTCCAACTTTGCCAATTCTTCTTCTAATTTCTTCATCTCTTCTTTACTTTCGTTATTATCGTTTTGTTTGGCCTTTTGTTTCGCTTCCTTCAGTTTGTTGTGCAAATCGTTTCTCTTATCTTTGAGTGCTTTCTTTGACGCCTCCATTTCAGACATCCTCTCGACTCTTGCCTGATGTCTCCATCGAAACAATGACGGCGTGTCAATGTTGGGATGTGTATCGTCTTCATCATCACTGATCTGATGAAATCATTGCAAAAAAAAAGACAATACATGTTAAAAACAAATGACATAATAATTTAATGACCAAAATATCAAAGACATACCTCAATAGTCCTCCACTTACTGTAGTCAACCATTGTGTGTGTGTTTGGTGTCACTTACCGTTGTCTCCACTTCTTGTATGTGATCAGTCTTTGGTAGTCTTTTATGACTCAATTGTCTCTAAGTTTTCATCCGTTAGTTTCTCTTTGAAATGAAGTCAAAGTGTGCGACAAATCTGTTATAAATAATAAAGAAATAAATCGCGAGAATTATTATCTCAGAAATTACTGGAAATTGTTGGGGAAATTACAATCAGATTTCAGGGATTTTGGGGACAATCGGTTAGAGAGAGAGAGAGAGAGAGAGAGAGAGAGAGAGAGAGAGAGAGAGAGAGAGAGAGAGAGAGAGAGAGAGAGAGAGAGAGAGAGAGAGAGAGAGAGAGAGAGAGAGAGAGAGAGAGAGAGAGAGAGAGAGAGAGAGAGAGAGAGAGAGAGAGAGAGAGAGAGAGAGAGAGAGAGAGAGAGAGAGAGAGAGAGAGAGAGAGAGAGAGAGAGAGAGAGAGAGAGAGAGAGAGAGAGAGAGAGAGAGAGAGAGAGAGAGAGAGAGAGAGAGAGAGAGAGAGAGAGAGAGAGAGAGAGAGACTATAAACATTTGAAATATATTTACACACAATTACTACACATTTAGTTGTTATTCAATTCAATGTTAAGACACTATTATATTAATTATCAATCAATTGAATCAATCAATCAATCAATTGATTCAATTAAACAATGATGTCATATATGAGTCAATTACTCACAAACAACGTTACAGTTATATACTGTGATAATAATAATAATAATAATAAATTGTTTATTAAAAAATATCCTAAAATAGTTAAATATAATTTATTTTTTGAAATTTTATAATCAAATTAAATAAAAGTAAAACTATTTGTCAGATATAATGACCCGAAATGTGGTCTAAAAAGTGGTCAAAACAGTAGTTATCAGCTGTTGTCAGGTGTGAGACATATAGTGTTTTGGGGTATAGTTTGGGTGTAAAACAGGGATAACATTGAAAGCAAACAATAAATAAGTGAAACAAAAATATTTCACTTTTCAGAGGAAATTGTTTTCATATTTAATGTCAAATATTTATTATTTGTAATTATTGTCATTATTACCGAAGTTGGCCACCAAAACACCCGAACTATGTCAATGTCAGAAGTGGTCAGACTGTTGACCAATGCTAAAGTATGTCAATAAAGTGGTCAAATGAGTTGATTAATCAAATTAATTGATGAATTGATTGAAAATATACTGTATATATACACTGTATATATATACATATATATATGATATCATATTATATAAACATTGACCGTATTTTTTGTCCACCGATTAGTACCGATATGTGGATCAAAGCAAACGGGACGTAATGTCGGCCATCAATATGTACAAGAATTTGTCACCAAAAGGGGAAAAGTATGTCTTTCCAAACGGCAATCAACGAGATCTGGTGTGTCTGACGGGTACAATACCCGTCCCCTATAGGGGCGCTGTCTATAATATTCCGGTCAGCATTTGGTTAACCGAATCGCATCCGTACGACGCGCCCATCTGTTATGTGAAACCTACCAAAGATATGACTATCAAAGTGTCCAAACATGTTGACCAATCGGGTCGCATATATTTGCCATATTTAAGTGATTGGAAGTCCAATACATCGGACCTCTTGGGTGTCATTCAAGTGATGATTTGTGTATTCGGTGAGACACCGCCTGTCTATTCAAAGCCGAAAAATGTCGGCCAAACTGGTGAGCCATCATTTGTAGGTCAGACGAGTACCGGTTTGTATTTGACTTGACTTTTACCGTACCGTAACTACAATTTCTATAAACTGATACTAAGTTTAACTTTATTTTTAACTAATAATGCTATCACTTGATTATCATTTTCAATATTGGATAGGAATTCCTCTCTTTTCAAGTCCTAACTGTAAGACAGTCACTATTATTATAAAATTATTTTTTATATCCTTTAAAATTAACAGTAAAAACTGTTTAGTTTTAAAATTAAATACTAATTAAAACTTATTTTAAATATTACAGGTTATCAACCAATGCCGCGTATTCCAAACCCAACGGGAATGCCAACCACATCGACTCCATATCCCGCTCAATACCAACCCCACACTCAGTATCCTTTTACGACTCCTCCATATCCCACAGCAACCGGTCCACAGCCTTATATACCGAGCACGACATCCAATACTCCATACCCGCCTTATTCCCAAAGTTATACCACACCGACTCAATCGCAGCAATTAAGTCCCGGAGGAACGGGAACTATAACTGAGGAACATATTAGGGTTTCATTAATCAGTGCTATTGAAGATGCAGTTAAACAAAGAGTTAAGGAAAAGATGGCTCAAAATCAGGCAGAAATGGATGTCCTCAAGAAAACAAGTTAGTTATCATTCATTATATAATTAATAAAACAGTTAACAAATTAATATTTTATTAATATTTTATTAATTTGTTAACTTCTTAGGCGAAGAGTTGACAAAAGGTAAGCATAGATTAGAAGATATTATGAGACGAATGGAGGACGAGATGATAGAAATAAATGACTCAAAACAAGAATTGAGTACAAAGAACGCTCAGTTATTGGAAGTAATGGCCAAATGTGACGACAAGGAAAAGAATATAGACATCGATGAAGTGTTTGGTCCGACACAACCATTATATAAGCAATTATTGAACTCTTTTGCTGAAGAGAATGCTATTGTCGATGCCATCTATTATTTAAGCGAAGCCTTACGTAAAGGTGTCATCGATTTAGAGCTATTTTTAAAGGTTTGTGTTAATTATTTTATTGTAAATTTATGTTATATTATTGTTTAATAATTGGTTATATTATTTGTATAAAATGTTTTTACAGTATATGTTTAGGCATTAAAAATCAATTATTATTACCCGTAAAAAGCATTTGTATAAAACACTGAACAAATGCTTGTTTTATGAAAGACATTGACAATAATCAATAGATATTAAAATAGTATATATATTATAAACGGTATACAGTATAGGTTAGGATATGTATCATTACTATCTGAATATAAATTGAGTATTGTAAAGATAATCAATATACTGTATTTTTAATTATTTATTAATGTTTAGTTATATTTTAAACTATTGATTAAAAAACATTTATAATAATTATTTAGATTTACTTTATATGACTTACCGTATATTAAATATAATTTGCAGTTTAGCACAATTTAGTTTGTTTTGCGTACAATACCTGTTTGAAAAAAGTGTTGTCAACTAAATTATATGCAAATATATGAATTGATTATTTAAAAATAATGACATTAAATGCAAATTTATATAAACAGCACGTAAGGGAACTGTCGAGAAGACAATTCATGTTAAGAGCACTGATGCGAGTCTGCAGAGAGAAGGCTGGACTACCCGTCTAATCGACGATAATGTGGTCTTATTTATTGCAAACACTTATAGAGATATTGTATTACTTTTACATTATTTAAATTGTTTTACAAAAAATAGGTAATTATTAATAAAAGTTAAGGACAAAAATAAATATATAGTAAATTTTATAAATAAATTATACGATATTTTTGCATATCTATTTAATTATTTTTTTTGTTTAATTTTTATTTAAATTATGAAATACATTGTAATATACGTTATATAAAAATAATAATTGTATTACATATACAAGTTATTAATAAAAATTTTTTCACAAATAAAGTACAATATTTATTATAATGTTTAATATGCTATTGTTAATGACATTCAAATAATGAATATTTGAATGTCAATGTTTTGTTATCTAAATTTATTGATTTATTTACTGCATTTATTTCTTTATTGCTTTATAAAACTAAAATTACATTTTTATGTTTTTATAGTAAATTTTCTTTTTTTAATAGCTGTTTGTCAATAAAAATTGTTAAGAAAGACTAGGTATTTGTAGTGGTGTTACCAATGAAACGGTTTGTTTAATGCATTTAAAAACAAAAATATATTGATTTGAGTTACTTTCCAAACGCATCACTTTATATAAAATTCTTTATGACTGTTATTAACGTGAATAGACTGAAGAAATTAATTTTATTGTCATTAAATATAAATACAATCTGAAGATATCGTTATCATTGATGGCATTTGGTCACCAAATTAACACCAGATATGCCACACATTATTCGGGCAGTAATTCATCTGATGGTCTGAAGTGTTTTATCCGATAATTTGTTGCTTATATGTAATGAATGCATACTTAGGTTGGAACGGCTGGTTGTATCCCATGTTGTTTGTTGTCTTACCATTAGTGGCATTCCTGATGGTTATGGCATTGATTGCATGCAATGTCTATGAATATTATCAGAAGAAGAAGCGTTTGCAACAATACGAGCACTGCTCTCAACACACGTTAACTCCTCATTTGGTTTCAGATAAGACTATGGATTATAATCCAAACAATTACGAGGGCTCTGGCAGTGGTTATAATGAGTCTCAGTATACCTATAATACTATTGTCGGAAATTATTTTACTGAAGAAATAAATCGGACACCAATTAGACCGATGAGTGGTTGGGTCGCACCTCATATGTAAAGCAAATTTGTTCTGCAAATTGTCGCACAATTTATGCACAAAGTTATTGATTTTAGTTATATTTTAGTTATATTTTATGCGAAAAATGCAGAATAATAACATATTCAGACAAACTATTAATAAAAATCTGTAAAAATTTTATAAAAGCATTTAACTGAATATTAATTTTTCTAAAATTTAAATTAATTAAAAATTACTTTATTCACTAATCTTGTCTCACGTTTTAACCAATAAAGTTGCAAATTATTGTGTATATAATTACACTGTTTGTGTCGGACATAATAAATGTTCGTATATTTGTTGAATAATTTATAATATATGATAACATTTTATATTAGTCATAATATCGGGGGCTTTTGGTGATAAAAAATGCAGACAAGTTGTAAAAAATAAAATAGTAATAAAGTATATTATAATTAAACGTTATGTTAGAATGGAGAGAAAGAGAGAGAGAAAGAGAGAGATGTCTATTTGATTTTATATTTGTCTTTGGGATCAAAGCTTTGAGGCATCAAAACAGTGCTATTTTGAAGACAACGTTTTTAACTTAAAACCATTTGGTTATAACTTATATAAGTGTTAGTTATTTCCAAAACTGCCTTAAAGTCATTTGACATTATCTGATGCAAAGAGTGAATGTATTTAAGAACTCAATTATTAAAAAAATAATATTATGTAAGCATTTCTGTCGGCAATTTTGGTCCAAAAAAACTGATTTTTTAAATATTTTTTATCATCGACTAAATAATATATTCAATAAATTCATACAGTATTACTGCTAATATGGTTTTCAACGGCTTTTTGTCCAAAATTAAAGCCTTCAATGCTTTCAAAGTGTAATTCATAGATAAATAGCGCAAAAAATAATACTTGAAAATTATAATTTTTTCAAATAAGCTTTCAGGTTTAAATTCAAATATTTGAATTGATGATACAAAATATCTTAAACTTATTCATGATTTTATAAACAACAAAATTGTTTTATTATTACATATTTAAACACTAAACTGTCGACTAAAATCAATTCAATACTTACGGTTCAGAATTATACTTTATATTAAAGTCAAAATTAGTGTTTTATACTTAGTGTTTAATAAAGTATATTAAATTATTAGTAAATTTTATATTATTAATAATTAACTTTAATTTTAGTAAAAGAATTGGCAATTTTTAATAATTTATTTCAAAGATTTTTGGCGCAAACCTATAGTTATTGATGAAATTGATATCAACATAAATCTCGTCCTTCAAAAATTTTTAAATAAATTGACGATAAAATTAAATTGAAGTACAAAAAAAATAATCGGATCAAAAGCTAATCGTTATTTTTCCTATTAATCATAAAACCTTTAAAACAGTTTTGCTGAGAATTCAAACACAAATTTTGCAAAAGTTTATCTTTAGTTTCTGAATTCAATGGGAAAACTAAATAAATAATTTCATCACATGATCACCAATAATGTCAATATCGGTATCAATGTATTTGTAATTTATAAATTTAAGTTATCAAAGTAAACACAGTTGATATTATTTTATTAATTATTTGGTCAGTAAAATAGATAAACTTCAAGAGTTAACTGACCGATAAAATAATACTTACCGTTTGGTGTCCTCATTAAACAATTATTTTTTCTTTTAAATAATTTATGAATTGTTTTTTTTAAATATTTTTATTGCACTTTTAAACCATTAGCTTATAGGTTATTAATGTAACTTATCTCCCGGTGCATTGTTAGGAGTCCTAACTTAGGACTGGTATTTATTGTTATTACAGTCTTACATAGCTATTAGTTTAAGTTTCATAATTAGTGCATCCATTTAGTGGGCGAGAGGTTGTACTGACATTCCTCTCAGACAACAATTGCCGGAACGGACATCATATGCACCACATGAGGAGGCAATCAATATTGCAATTATGCCTCTTTTAGTGGCCCACCCAATGGTTAAACTATTGATATGAAGTTTAAAACTATTCCCATATACAGTAATATTACAAATCTAGACATTTGTGATATTAGTGCCAAATATAGAGAAAAAATTCTCAATCGATGCTGTTTTTAATTTTTTCAATTTTACTCTAAAATAATTCAAACAAAATATTATAAATGTTTTATTGAATTACGTTATAACATTATATAACGTTATTGAAATTTCAAGTTGTATAATACTATATATTAAATTATAATAATTTTTTATATTAATGGGTGAATTTTGTTTGTATTAAATATATTTATTTTAAGGTTAAACATAATTATGCCTATTGTGTATACAAATTGGTTTGTAAAAAGCAATTACAGTAAGTCTGAAAAAACTAATAAACAAATATTGCACATAAGATCCCAAAGTCAGTCTAAAAGGTATAAAAACAAGTGTAAGGATGTGCTCAGGTATTGTATTGGGGCTATTGTTAAAGGGAACGGATATGACAGGTGTAATAATAGCTGATAGAGTACCGGCCTATAGATACAATATATTATACAGTTTATGACTTCCCAGACAATTCATATAATGCTGCAAATTATTGGCAATCTTTGCTATGCTTTCACAAATCAAATGCTAAACTACTCTTTTGTGTTAATGTTTACCACAAAAATCATTAATATATTGTAATTCAAACATCTGTACGCTATTATATGCATAAAATTTATTATTACTAAAAATGTGTTTAAAGAAATAATTGTATCAATACTACTGAAATAATTAATTAATTATTATTTTATAATTTTACTTTAAATATTGCATATATAGTTTATATCATATTTGATACTAATATATTTAAAGTATTAATAGTTTACAATCAATAATATTGATTCAATATGTGCATTGCATAACATTGCACTACATTTGAATAAAATTTTTAAGTACAAGTACTACAAAAGTTTAGATTACTATTAAACTATTATAATACTGTATAAATTATATCAATAGTTTGTGAAATACACTGTCTATAAGTATATACTTATGTACTGTATTTTATATGCATATTATGCAGAGAGAAAAAAGAGAGAGAGAGAGACGTTAAAAAATAAGAGGCATTCATCCAATTTCCAGTCCCAGACCTCCATATCCCGTCCCAGACCTCCATTTCCCTTCTCGACAAACCTTCTATTCTTTAGTTACACTCCAGTGCTTCTTCTTTATTGTGAAGTGCAATACTAGAGCCCGTGAAAGACCTTATTTTTAATACAATATATCACATGAGATATATATGCTTTTGGCGCGAAAACTTTAGGACACTTTTAATAATAATAATAATAATAATAATATGGCAATGACTGAGACATACTGTAAATAACTAATCAATAGATTAAAACACTTAAAATAATGATTGAAAAAACATTGATAACGCACAGGGAGTACATCCGTTCTAACTATATGGTAGTTCACTAATATTAAACAAACTTACATAATATACTAAATACTATATATTTTATATTATAATATTTTCCAAAATTTTCGTTATATGATATATACTGTATATTAAAACATTGATTTATAAACATAAGGAGTTTCCTAAATAAGAAACCTTTGTTATAAATGTTTGATGCGAAACAATTGCTAAATAACATAGACTTCCTTTATTAGTAAAAATTTATTGAAATCTTTTGTAAATTAAAATTTGTTTCATCACATTTAGTATATTAATATTGCCGACATTTTCACACAATTGCATTTTTTAATAAATAAGTGATATTTTAACTTAGCAATATTACTTTAATCTTATTAAAAATATATTTATAGTAATTATAGATGTAACAATTGTAAATGTTTGTCCAAATATTATTATCAATGTATCAAAATTTGATTAGAAAATAATTTATATTTAATTGTAATTGTTCTTTAATATTTATATAATTGAAATAATAAAATTATATAATTAATTTGTATTGTACAAAAAAAATCTATCTCTATTCATACATTAATAATTAGTAATATTAAAATACTATGATAATTAAAGTATTTATAAATAGTAATATAATGCATTCATTGATTATATTATTGTTGTCATATTAATAATAATACCATAATTTTACAAATTTTAATTTCTATTTGTTTCTGTTTTTAAATTGCATGAAATGATAACAACATAAAAAGCTTAACTCCCTTTACATTTTTCCTAAACATTGATTATAAACAAATTTCTATATAATACAGTATATAAAACTTTTTATCAATTTATATATAAATTATATATAATATATAAATATACTATTTATATTAAATATACAGTATTTTATTTACTATAACCCAAATATTAACACAGAAAGTGACCAATATTTCCAAAACTGACTTTCAATGATAATAAATATAAACATAATTAATAAATAAGTTATTTTATCATTATTTACTATTAAGATATTAGTGCATTGAAATTAGATTTTTTTTCTAAAAATAAATTATACAAACTTAATATAGTCATTATTATCTATACTTTTTAATAGATAATTTGTTTGTTATACTTTTCATTTAATTAATTATTACATTATATATGCATTAGATTTTCAAATATGTGCCATATTTAATAAGCAATTAAAAGTAAGTAAATAATTAACGATCAATAATAACAAATACAGTCTCTTTATATTTAACAAATAGTTATCAAATATGAAATTTTAATTAAAGAATTAATATTTGTCAGCCAATTAAAATAAATCCACAAAATATTTCAGTTTTAATAATAATAATAATAATCATTATTATTATTATTATTATTATTATTATTATTATTATTATCAGCACTTCAGTCATTATATCTGCAACTAATAAATCTTTGATACTTTCATTGCTAAACAAATGGTCTTATATTTGATGAGATAACCAATTTCTCAATTTTTTGTTTATACTGTATAACCACTTCTATGTCTTAAATTTATGGTTTGTTACCCCTTTCCCCGGGACTCTCGTTAGTCTCTGTATAATTAAATTCGGTGCCGTGTGTTGTTATAGCCCTAATACATAAAAATATTATATATATGTTAGATAACATTTTGCTACCGTTT